GAAAGCTGGGTCCCTCCTCCCCATTTTGGCTTGGAGTTTTATATTTAAGGACACATTTCTTAGTTCAAATTCATGTTTTCCTCTGTGTGTTTTTTTTCTAAAGATTTATTTATTTTTATTAGAAAGGCAGAGTTAGAGAAAAAAGAGAGCTGGAGAGAAAGGGGGAGAGAAAGAGAATAGCCAAATGACCACAGTGGCCGAGGCTGGGACATTCTGAATCCAGGAGCTTCCCTGGGTCTCTTAAGTGTGCTCAAGGTCCAAGGACTTGGGCCAGTTTCTGCTGCTTTCCCAGGCCATTCACTGGGAATGAATCCTAAGTGGAGCAGCCAGGACTTGAACCGGCACACATATGGGATACTGGCACTGCAGGTGGAGACTTAGCTTGCAGTGCCATCATGCTGGCCTCTCTCCTGTGTGTTTCAAGTTTTCCTTTTTTACATTTGGCGTTTGAATATATCAAGAATATATGCAGAATAGGACATGGAAAATGCAATAGTTTTTATTTGAAGAGCCAGTTGTCTCAGCAATAGTCATTGACTAACTTATCCTTTCTGTATAGTTTTTAATATGACATGTTTGCATGAATTACTTTTCTCAATATGTAATATTTTCAAAAAATATCTTAATCTAGGCTATAAAGTCTATTCTGAATTTGAAATATGTATGCTTTCTCTGTGGTACCAATCTGCATCTGTATGTCTGTGTCTGTGTGTGTACATATATATACGTATATAGATAGATAGATATAGAGATTATTCTAGCACTCCCTTGAAAGTGGAAATTTGCTTGTATTGATTACATGTTGTCAATACTATTAATGAATGCTGAGAATTTAATCTCAAATATATGACTGTTACAAAAATGATCCAAACATTCACATCAGTTGTTTTTCCTTATTATTTATCAATGGATTTACTCAATCCTGACTAGTGATGGTGACAATTTGTGGGTTCTGGGATTTTTAGAAACATCATGTGATGTTTGTTGATTCATGTTCTTAGTTGGTGTAACATACCTGGCCTGACATGGGTTTGGCATGTTTTGAATCCTGTTCAGGGTCAAATGAGTTGATGAGCTTTTCACTGCTGCACAGTCTAAAGCCGGTGGTAACCCCTGGACCAGTCGTGGGATGGGCACATTCATGCCAAGAGTACTGTGGAAGGGAGGCCCTGTGAACATTGTCCAATGCTGTTCCAGTCGGTCTCAAACCTCCAAGTACAGCATTCCTAGGTCACTGTGGTTGCAGATTTAGTATAATTCAAGGGGCTGAGAACTTGTATATCTTAGAAGCTCCATGGTGATTCTCACATAGGCACAACCAAGACAACACTGTATATTAGTGAAACTTGATCGGTCACACTCTCTGCTATGATTTTGGTCATATTCATGTAAAACATACACTGTTTTGAATTATATTTCCTTTTAATTACTTGCTAAATATGAATTTATATTAAGGAGATCTCTATATATATGGCTGTGTGTGGTGTGTATATGTATGTATATGTGTACAGTCATAAATAATGAATAGTCCTCCAGGTTTTTCAGTTGTCAACTTGGGCAATTTAATGTATGTTAGATGTGTATACTCTCATGAGTGTATACAAAACATATGTACATATACTTATTGAACACATACAAAAATTATATTAAGTTCATGAGATGTATGTATATGCTTATATAATATTATATATAATTCATCCACTTAACATTACCTTTTGTTTCCAAGTTTGGTAAACACTGAACTTAAAGAAAGATTATAGAGGACAGTAAGTCATCGTCTCCCAAATCTTCAGGAACTAGAATTACCTTTATCTTTCAGTGGTGAGAATGTAATTCGGAAATGGCATGTTGGGGATAGGGGTTTGGCTCAATGGTTAAGATACTGCTAGGGAAGACCAGTGTTACAGCATGGTGCGTTAAGCTGCTGCCTGACGCTAGCATTCCTTATGTGTCTTGGTTCAGTCTCAGCTATTCCTCCTCTTCTTCTCCTCTTGGTCCACCTCTCCCCTCCTCCTCATCCCCCCTTCTCTCCTCCTCGTCCCCCTCTCCCCTCCTCCTCATCCCTCCATTTGAGAATGGTGTCTGTGTTTCTCCTTCTTTCTCTGTAACTCAGCTTTTCAAATAAATGAATCTTAAGGGAAAAAAAAGATGCTGCGTGTGGTGTCTGCATCAGCTGTTGGGGTGCCTGGATGTGAGGCCCAGCTGCTTCTGATTCCAGCTGCCTGCCAATGTGCACCCTGAGAGGCAGCAAAGTATGGTTGAACTACTCTGGTCCCTGTCACCCACGTGGGAGGTGGAGATGGAGTTTCCTGGGTTCCTGGCCCTCACTCTGGCTATTGTACGCATTTGGGAAGTGAACCAGTGGGTGGAGATCTCTACCTGTCTTCTCTCTATTTTTACCTTCTACCCTTCCTTTCTGCCTTTCAAATAAAATGGATTTTTTAAAAAAGAAACGTGTGATAGTATGGCTTCTGTACACTTTCTAGTGGAAGAAGGTGTTCCAACAGGAGAAGCAGCCTGAGGGCTAGCAAAAAAGAGAGGAAGGGTATTTGTCTTTTTATGGACTAGAAATCCCTGTTTTTAAACAAGAGTCCTTGGGCTTTGGCAGCAAGTTCTCAAGGAAAGGGGCCAACATTTTCCCTGCTGGTGAGGATTTTCTGTGTGCTAGGCACTGTCTTCTGAGTACATGTCCATGAGAACTGTGCTGTGTGCACAGTACTACTAACTGTGCTGTGTGGTTGAGGAGAAGGACACGTGTGGAATTCTGTCGCCTCTCCAGGTCTCCAGGATCGGAGAATGAGAGAAGAAAGAATCCCAAGAATCTTATTTCCAGTTGGGCTTTAAAAAGGAAATAGATTAACCTCTGCATTCTAAGTTTTAAAAATGTATTATTAATTTGGTGTTTAAAATTTTGTCCTGGTTTGTCATTTTGCTATACAATTTTTGAACAGTTGTCACCCGTGGCTTCATGGTAAACACCAGAACTCTTCCCTCCTGTAGCTTCCAGTTAAGCCTTCTCAGTGAAAGTTTTCCTTATTACAAATTCTTTGTCAGTTCTGGTGTGGTAGACTTTGTCGGTCCTAGTGTGGTAACTCTCTGTTATAAAATGAAGCCAAAGAGGCAAAGTGGGAATGAAACACCTCATTTGATTTTGCTCATGTGGAAGGAACAGTCATTATCATGATCCATTAATCGTGTCATTGAGACCTACCTGAGACTCTCAGAGAATTGAGTGCTCTGAATTCCCAGTGGGATACTGGGACTTGAGAAGGGCTGATAAATCAGGCTGGGCACACTCTTGCATAGAACCGTTAGACAGATTTTCTCAGAAACGAATAATGGAGGATTATGCTGGCTATTACAGTGATCATAATGATAGTAACTTACTCTTCTGTATTGGGAATTCTTTTTACGTTAAAGCTTTTAAGTATTTCAGAGGGAGAAAGAGAGTGTGCATCCTCTGGGTTCTTCCCCAATGTCCTTTGACAGCGAGGACTGACCAAGATGAAGCAAGAGCTGTGAACTCAATCCAGTTCTCCCACATGACTGACAGGGATCCAGCTACTTCCTGCATTAGCAGGAAGCTGGAATCAGCAGTAGAACTGGAAGTTGAACGCAGGAAATCTGGTACAGAATGCAGATGTAGTAAGTGATTTCTTAATCATTCTGCCAGGTCAATGGTTCTGGGGGACTTTTAAAAAGAACATCGTAGGCTGTTATTTTTCAGAGATTCTGTGTCCCTCCGACTCGTAGAATTTTCTGTATAGTCTACAATAGAATTTCATAGCAATTTCTGACATCAAAAGTATCAAGACAGAACAACTTTCTACCAACTTATGTGTCCCCTATGATATTGCATGAAACTATACCCATAAGGCACCTGGATAAGATGGGTTTTCTTCTGAAAAATTTCTCTTGCTCTAGGGCAAATATGATATGATAGACTGGCCATCTCTTTCTTCTAGCGGAAGTCTGAAAACTCAGACCAATTTGAGGCTCTCCAATGAAAGGAGTACTAGTCTCAGAGCCTGTGAATCATTGCATTTTCCCCATTTAACTTAATCTTTCTGCCCAAATTTACCATTTCATTGGTCCTAAAGAATTATTACTGTGCAGTTAAGTAACACATAATAGTAGCTGAATATATGAAGTAGTAGATGTAAAGATTTGACTAAAGGTAAATATGAAAATGATTCTGTATTAAATTTCCAGTGCTACAGACAACACTGACTTGAACAGAATAAAATAATTTCTTCTTCCCCTACTTTTGACAGCTTTAAATGTTACAATTTCTTACTTTTTTGTGATCATCACAATTTCAGAGTCATTCCCATGTTGCCTGTATTGCATAATCATAGAGTTGGAAGTTTGGGGTCAGAGATGTACTGGACACACATACACTTGTTAACTGAGATTTTTATCTACTTCATATTAATGTGCTCTGAATATGTTTTCATATATCCTTTAAAGCCATTCATCAAGTATTAGTCATTCTTGTCTGAAGTAAAATACAAACATATAGTTTGAATAATTGTAGTGTCTTCCTTTGATTAGGAGGTTTTTTTTTAAGTTTTATTTATTTTTATTAGAAAGGCAGATATACAGAGAGAAGGAGAGACAGAGAGAAATAACTTTCACCTGCAGGTTCATTTCCCAAGTGGCCACAATGGCCGGAGCTGAGCCCATTCAAAGCCAGGAGCTTCTTCTGGGTCTCCCATGCGGGTGCAGGGTACCAAGGCTTTGGGTCATCCTCTACTTCTTTCCCAGGCCACAAGCAGGGATCTGGATGGGAATTGGAGCAGCTGGGATTAGAACCATTGCCCATATGGCATCCTACTGGTTGCAAGGTGAAGATTTAACCACTAGATTATTGTGCTGGGTCTGATTCCCTGTTTTTGAAATTCAAGATGTGCGTGGTTTTAATTAACTTGTTTATTTTCAGTGGGGATTTCAAGCTTACATTTGAGTTCAGAAGCAAAGTATTTTTTTTCTCATTCCAGAGAGAACTAAACTCCACATCTCCCTTCCCAACCAAGCAGCTGGCTGAAGCCACAAAAGTTTTGCTGGATAGTCTTGGGGCTTTGGCCCAAGAGGTAAGTTGTGTCTCTCTAGAACCTGAAGGTGGACCTGTCAGGATCACTTTATGAAATTCTGAATTTGGCTACAGGATGGTTTGAATATCATATGAAATATAATAGTAATTTGGGAATTACAAGTTTTCTAAAAAGTGTTTTGTTTTGATCCCTTAGAGAGAAAGAAGTAAAGGCTCATAGTGTCTCAGAACCTATAAATTTGTGGCTTCAGGCCCTGTGTCTGGTCCGGAACATTGTTCCCTGGTTGCTCTTTGTCCCTAGATAATAACATCTGTGCAGAGAGCATAATCTCTCACTCCACAGGCACTTCTGTGTGACCAGCAACTTCACCATACTGCTTCGTCAGTGGCAAAACCAGGTGATCATTTTGTGGGAAACAAGCTTGCTAACTATAGGGATAACCTGAGACCCCTCGTTCAGCTCTTTCCTTGTGAACATCTAGAACTGGAGGCTCAACGTTGAAATATAGTCTGTTAATGAACCTTCAGTTGCATTTGCCTTTTTGGCCCATACATTGACAAATGTATCAGGATCTCTTTGTCCCGGGGTCTCAGGGCCTGCAAATGCCTATAATTGCAGGCAACCTTCTCTGACTCCTGGCCAACAAAGACACCACCTTTCTTAGTCCTAGGCTTGTTTTGAGTTAGCTGTGAAGAGCAGGAGTTGTCTGGAGTCCTCACACATAAGAAGCTGATTCAGGGAACAGTGGTCATACATAATGCAAGCCTTAATATATAGGACATTGGAAGATAAGAATTATCACAAAATTTAGTTGGTGAGGCTTCATTTCCAGCTGCTACTGCTCTGCCATCATCTCCTCCTCTCCCCTCCTCTCCACTCCTCTTTTTTTTTTTGATATTTATATATGACTTGCCCTTTTTTAATCTCTGTAGTATTTATTTTTTAATATCAAAATTTATGTTTTCCGGCAGAGTAAGTATTGCATGTTTATTTTGGGAAATGCAGAACACTTGGAAAATATAGGAAGCACTGAGATTAAACACTGCTGGTACAGTAATGTGGTTCTTTCTCTCCTGTTTTTTAAATTCTGCTCATGTGTCTGACCAAAGAGGCTTGGCTTTCAGGCCTCCATTCAGGAGGAGACGCTGTCTTCCAACCTGTCATTTGTTACTTCGGTTATGGAGTCTGGTGACCTTTCGCTAGGGAGCTGGGCCAGCTGGGACTCTTCCAGAGGCAGAAAGAGAAAGAGAAACTGCTCTGCAAGTCCACACTTTTTTCTCCAGGGCCCAGTTAGCTGACATTGACATGCCCTGCCTTGTTCTGGCAGGTTCCCACCCAGCCCTCCTTTCCCTGATTCATTTTTTGGCCTTAGAGGAAAGAAAGCAGAGACTGTAAGAGGGGAGGCTGTCCTTCAACTGGGGCTCTGATTGCAGCCGTTTTCTCTTACATCACTGGCCCTGCGTTTTGTCTGGGGTGAAATAATTGAAAGCATGTGATGTTCCCGTCTCTGATGTGATGGGAACTCTCCAGCTGAGCACTGTGTTTTCCTTGGCAGCTGTAGCTCACGGCTCAGAGCACCCAAGGGCCACATACTTCTCTCAGCAGAGCACCTTCAAATCACTTTGATTGCAAGTGACTCAGTGGCAAACTTGCTATTTCAGCGAGACACACAAAAGATAAATACATGCATTGTTTAATCAGTGTTTGGAAAGAAAGTTGGTTGTTTTGACCAAAGCACAGCCCTGGAAAGGGAAAGATAAAGAAAGTTAACATTTTCTAAGGAGCTACTTTTAATTTAGGCAGTTTCATCTCATTTCCTTGTGTGATTCTCATGATACTTGTGAGATGGGTTTTACCATGCCCATTTTACAGGTGGAACGGAGGTCCAGAAGAGTGAGACAACTTCATGACAGCTGGCAAAATATGGATTTGAACCCATAATGGTCCGATTCCAGAACTTGTGTTCTTGTTCCTTTCTGTTCTAGTTACCATGGCAGTTTGAGGAACTTACAAAGAAAATATGCATCTGTAGGACCTGGCAATTAGGTAGGAGAAGGGATGTGAGGAGGAAGGTGAACAGAAGCTGAGTTACCTGACAGAGTTGGAAGGTGGGCTATGGGCCCACCCCTGCAGAGCCTTGTTCCCACCTGGACCTGTAGGCAATGCTGAAGATGTATAGAGTGCAGGTCATGTGAATCCCAGCAGCCAGCAGGCTCTGGCAAGCAGAGAACTAGGCATGTGGAGTTTCCAAGGTGTGTGGAGGAGGTGCTGCAATCTCTACCTTTTGCCCTCCCTGACTCATCCTCTGCAGGTGGTAAAAACAGGCAGTGGCATTTCCAGGAATGTAGAACTTACTAGCCATGTGCCATGAAATGCGTTAAAATACAAAGGGCTGTGTGAGTATTCACTAATAAGAACAGTTAGGCCAAGAACTCCAGGTGCTGGAGTGCCTTTTTGGGGGATGAAACACTGTGTGATGGATGCTGATTGACTGGGAGGTGAAGATACAGCCCCTGACTTCCCTGGGGAGTTCTGGCTAATCCTGCGTGGGGCTGGGCCATCTTGGGTGTTCTCAGATGTAAGCTGTGATTTTGACTACACCATGCCAGCTTTTGCTTTGTTGTCTTGATGAGAAGTTGCATCCTCAGCAGTGTGATGAACCTTTCCAAAGGCTCTAAACTAATGAGAGATAAATAGTTATCCCATTGCCTGACTTCTGAGCCCAGGCTAGGGGACTTCAAACATACAATGGGAAGAGGACGTTGGAGTCTGACTCATTGTCATGGAGTACCCGTAATGACAAAAGGCAGTCATTCCTGATGGACTCTCATGGAACAGACCAGATGTGTCTGTTCAGAGAAAGCAATCTCTCCTCTGATCCAGAGATAACCCCAGTGGAATAGAGCCACACCCAAGAGGCCTCACTCTAGGCTGGGTGTCTCAAACTTCAGCGGGTTTAAGAAGCGCCTGGGCATCTTGAGAAAATGCAGGTTTGAATTCTACAGATCTGAGTGCACGTGTGGCAGGGAGAGGGTAGGGGTGTCTCAGATTCTATAATTTAGACAGTGTCAAGATAGTGCAGATGCACTGGTCCCTGGACCACATGTTGTGTAGGGAAGGAAGGTTCTGGCAAACCCATCATAAAGCACTTGAAGATGATGTTAGACAAGCCATGTCCTGGACCAGGGCTTTCAAAAAGTCAAGAAATAAAATGATGTTGTTTTTTTCTTTTATGTCCCCTACTCTCTGCCCTTCTCTCCCCTTGCCCTTCCTCTGCTTTTCCTCTCTATTCCTGACACCAGCTCTTCAGCATGAGGAGCTGGAGCGACATGCGACAGGAGGTGATGTTTCTGACCAACGCCAATGGCTCCAGCTCCTCCACTCAGATATACCAGGCTGTGTCGCGGATTGTCTGTGGCCATCCGGAGGGCGGGGGACTGAAGATCAAGTCTCTGAACTGGTATGAAGACAACAATTACAAAGCCCTCTTTGGAGGCAACGGCACTGAGGAAGATGCTAACACCTTCTATGACAACTCCACCAGTGAGTGTGCCTGCAGCCCTTCTGGTCCCACCTGTGGTACCTCCTTTACTTTGCCCCTATCCTCTGTAGCAACGTCAGAGGGTTAGGTGTCTATTGAACCACCAGACCAGGCTCCTGGAAAAAAATCTGTTCTTAATTGACAAATTTGTTCACAGTTCTGGGAATGGGCCTGGTACATCCCAGGTGCACAGTGGTAATTGGATGATGTATGGCTGAAAGCCAGTCTCCCCAGCTTTCTGGTGGATACAGGGAGTTTCCTGGTGTATTTCCAATAGTATTCTGATGGACACAGGACTGGTTTTCATGAATGAGATCTGGCAGAAAGATAAGTCCTGCATGATTTCACTTTTTTTGTGGAATGTAACAAAACAGACTGGTAAGAGCAGAGAGTGGAGTGGAGGTTGCTGGGGCTCAACGGGTACAAGGAATGGAGAGATGTTGGTAAAAGGGAATTAGGTTTCAGCTATATGGGACAAATAAGTTGTCTAAATCTGTTTATTATGGTGAGCAGTGTTAATGAAGCAATTTTATACTTCAAAAATTTGCTGAGAACATAGATCTAAGTGGTTTCACCATAAAAAAATGGTAACTGTGTTGGTAATGGTTATATTAATTACCTTGATTGTGTTAATTTCATAGTGCATAATCTACTAAAACCTTAAATATATATAATTCATATTTGTCAATGATACCTCAGTGAAACTGGGGGAAATTTTTCAAAAGAAATCAGATTTTGTTTTTTTTTTTTAATTATAATTATGATCACTGAGGTAAGCTTCCTAATAAAAATTTAAAATAAGTAACTGCTAATATCAAAAAATTTAGCATTTTGGTCAAGATTCCTATATACTATGCATTCTATTTAAGTTATGTTATTTGGCTGTCTTGATATCCCCAACAAGAAGGCACCGTAAGCCCACCTTTCATAGATTAAGAGATTAAGTAACTAGAGAAAAGCTGCTTTGTTACTAATGCATAGGAGCCTGGATTCTACATCTCCATGGCTCTGTGAGTTTATGGTAAACCGCACTGCCTATGAAATCCCCGGGAATGGTGGTGTGTGTACCAGCACACTTGGACACTTGATCTGCTGTTTGTTGTGGGTTCTTAGCTGCAAGGCAGTGTTAAAGCACCTTGTAACCCCGTATCTGCTTGCCACGTTTGGGCGGTCTGAGGGCAACGTGGGCAGCAGGGATCCAGTGTTACAGTTCTAGACAATGGCATCTTTTTCCTTGAAAACACGATTCAGATGAGCCTTTCTTCATTTCCAACCACAGGTGAGGCAAGTTTTTGTGCGCTAGTGTAATACGAGGCCCTTTCTTTCTTTCCTGGGCTAAAGGGCTCCAGTCAGGCACAAGTCGCCTTCCAGAGCTGAAGAGAAGCCGAAGAGGGTGGTGGCTTAGGCAGCTCTGTCAAATGCCATCTCCTCCTCTGCTGTGGGATGCTGGTCGATCCTGAGCAGGTTTTCTTTGTGCAATAGACAGGATTGTGAGAAAGTTCTCTGTTTTTTTTTTTTAAGGTGTTATTATTTTTGCAACATGTGGAGGGGGGGGTGCTTAGTACCTATAAAAATTCAGAATAAAACTAAACAAAAATATCAGTGATTCTTTTGGATAATAAAACAGATTGGCTTGTTAGAACTTGATCTTTGTGTGGGTTAGTTTTTATTATTTAAATATAAGTGTACTTGTGATAAGATACACTAAGGAAATTTTGTTTTTGTTGTTGCTGGAAAATTAAAACCTGAAATCAATTCCCTGGTTGCCCTTTAAAAATCCTGCTTGTTTCCTGTGAGGACAGTGCTGAGGCTGGGTTGAGAGCATGGCGCAGAATTAGGATGGCTTTACACCTGCTGAAAACATCTGTCCAGATGAGCTCAGTTGTGGGCTGTCAACCATCAGTGGTGGAGTAAGCTGAGATCATTTATCAAGCGCTGTTCTAAAGGCAGTACATCAATGCCAAGTAGCTCTTCTGAACTGCAGAGGAGCCAACTGGTTGGTTGAATTAGACTTTGAACTTGGGACTTTCTGTCTAGCTCCGAAGCCCTCGTATGTGCCAATCTGCTTATACGACCTTGGGTGTGAGTGAGTCTCTGTCTCCTCCATCTTCTTTGCAGCGCCTTATTGCAATGATCTGATGAAGAATTTAGAGTCCAGTCCTCTTTCTCGTATCATCTGGAAAGCTCTCAAGCCTCTGCTCATTGGAAAGATCCTGTATACACCTGACACTCCAGCCACGAGACAGGTTATGGCTGAGGTAAGCTGTCCAAGCCCAAGACTCCCCTTCTACACACCTCCCATGAGGGGTGTAAACCAAAGGTGGGTGGAGGTATGCAAAGAATCCTTGTGGCCTTTCTGGGATTGCTAGAGAGTCAGACCCTCAGATCTAATCCAGACCAGCACTGACGGTTGAGAGCCACATGCCTAGGCCTGGATGTCTGAAACTCGGCCACAGCATTTCTTGGGACCTTGGTGACTTCATGGGGGCTCCTGTGATGGAGTGGGGAAGTACTTTCCAGGGAGAAGCTAAGTTGATCACTGGACCATTGTCTCTGCCTCTTCTCTTTTTCCTGCGGGCTCTGCCTCTTCCCTAACTCCAGGTGAACAAGACGTTCCAGGAGCTGGCTGTGTTCCATGATCTGGAAGGCATGTGGGAAGAGCTCAGCCCCCAAATCTGGACCTTCATGGAGAACAGCCAAGAAATGGACCTTGTCCGGGTGAGTGTCCTCTGAGTACTCTTTGAGCCTGCTTGTACTAGAGAGGGGAGCTTGCCCAGAAAAGACTGAGATGAGAATGATTTTTTGTTTCATCAATGATGATGTAATGACCATATAGATAATAGGGCTGTGCAGCAGTTACCCTGTGTACCTCAGCTTCAGTCCTGCTCCGGGCCAAGTGTCAGCTTCCTCTGCAACTCAGTGAAAGGTGAAGTGTGTGGTGATTGTAGTGATTGTAGGGTCTTAAGTGTTTTCATTTCTGGCTCCAGCCCCTTAGCTGGCACTAGTGTCTTCTTTAGCCTTCCTGTGTCTAAGGAGGGAGGAAGATGGGCTTGAGATCTTCATTTCCTTGGCTGTGTGTGAGCACAGAACTACCATTACTGTGGGGAGGGGTTGACACTCAGAGCTGCTGAGCCACGTGAGAGGGAAGGTGACCTGGAGACTGCGTTCAGAGGCAGGGCAGTCTGGGTAGGGTCAGAGTGCGTCTGCTCCCTGATCCCGTTATCCCTGTGCTGGGTTAGGGGAACAGCAAGCACTTCCTGTGGCAGAGCCTTTCCTGAGGCAGCACCCTTCCTGTGGCATGGCCTGCTGTCTTTCATCTCTGGCTGTTAGGAACTAGGAGAGGATCTTGGCCAGGTTTCTTGTCCTGGCATGTGCCGATCCAAGGGACAGCTGGGTTTCAGAGGCTGCACTTACCGGGAGGGAACTCTTTGAAAGGCAGAGGCTGGCCCCAGGAAGCAGGTTGCCAAAGAAGTCCACTGATGACAAGCCTCAGTCCCTTGTGGTGCTGGTCCTGTGACACACCTACAGCATTCCCCCACTGGGGCATTTAAAAACTTTTGTGAGACAAGTGTCAATAACGACTAACAGTGACAGCTCATGCCTTTAAGTGTGGCTCCCTGTTGAACTTCAGCTTCTCCTCTGGAAGAGAGGCACTGTAGACTTTTGTATGACTTCAGGCTCCTCCTTGATGCCCAGGTTTCCACCAGTTGGTTGTTTTCTCTCTCAGGATTTCAGAAGATGATAAAAGTTCTCTGTTGGAGAGACTCAGTGAGTTTCAAATAGGAAAAAAATAGGGGGTTTCAAAAAATTTGGAAATTGAATTCAAAGATAATTAATTTTAGAACTTTTCAAAAGACTTATTTATTTTTATTGAAAAGGCAGATATACAGAGAGGAGACAGAGAAAGATCTTCTGTCTGCTGGTTCACTCCCCAAGTGAACGTGATGGCTAAAGCTGAGTTAATCCAAAGTCAGGAGCCAGAAGCTTTCTCCGGGTCTCCCACGTGGGTGCAGGATCCCAAGGCTTTGAACCATCCTGTGCTGTATTTCCAGGCCACAAGCTGGGAGCTGGATGGGAAATGGAGCAGCCAGGACATGACCATGCCCATATGGGATTCTAGTGCGTGCAAGGTGACGATTTAGCCACTGGGCCATATCGCTCGGCCCAGCAAAATTTTTTAAAAATTCATCTATGTGGAAGGTTGTTCAAAAAGTTCATGGAAAATGTGTATTATGAAGAACCTAATCATAGATTTCAATTTCTTCTTTTTCTTCTTTTTCTCTTTTTTTTTCTTTTTCCTTTTCTTCCTCCCTCCATTCCTCTGTCTCTTCCTTCCTTTCTCCATTTCTCTTTCTCCCTTTCCCTTTCTTTGCTTCTCTCCTTTGTTCTTTCTCTCTTAAAAAAAAATCTTAGAGATGTTTCCCTATGATTACACTGAAGCTTTTCTTTGTGAGGCTGTGCATTATATGAGACAGGACCCTTGTAAGGGTGGCCATGACAGTCATTAGGAGTAGAGCTTAGAAAATCCATGGAGGTGGAGAAGTGATGGCTACAGAGAAAGGCGTGGTGTCCTTGGAGACTTTGTGTGTCAGGCTGAGGATTTCTGCACTCTGGAAGGCCGTGAAAGCGTCTCATGCAGGGGGAGGTGATGATGCTTTATTCTTTGTGACAGATGGATTGAGGGAAGAATAGATGGAAGGCAGAGACCAGGGTGGAGACTCTGCACATAAGCTCTGAAGACATAGTGCAGGACCTTGGGCCTGGTGACTGATCAGTGGGAGAGCGGTGAAGGAGAGGGAGGTACCAGGGTGATTCTTGGTTTTTAGCTGGCAGACGGGGGCGGGATGTGCAGCAAGCAGGTGTGCAGGTGGGTGGTGGGTCCAGAAACAGACTGGAGTCATTACTCATGGGTGAAAATCAAAGACACCTGTAAGTTCTCTTTTCTCATTTAAGGTGTGTTTAGCACAAGTGTGGGCTTCTCATTGGCTTCTGGTCTATGCAGCTGATGCTTCTCCTGGGGCAGCTCTGACCTTTCTACTGGCCACGCCCATTGCATCACTCCCTCTGTGCTCTTTCTGTCCGTCTCTGCTGTATTGCTCGGAAGCTACTCCGGGCAGGGCAGGCTTCACCCCACTTGCCAGGCTGTTCATTCTGCTCTTATTTGCTCAATGCAACTAGAATCATTTCAGAAGCACTAATTCATGCTTCTGTGAACTTTTGTGAGGTACGCTTTTGTATCTAGTAAGTTAGCAGACTTATTTACATATCCCAGTGGTGACAGTATAAATTGTTATTCCCTAATGGAAAGCAATTAGGAATGGAAATTTTTAGAGCCATAAAAAATATGCTCTCCTATATACCTCCATTCTTAAATTGCCCCCTAGGGAGGTATCCTACAGACATAATTTTCAAAAAGTCAACATTTGAGAAAGAAATTGTTTTTGCTGTAATAATGGTTATTGTGAGAAATTGGAAATAGATGAAATACTCAGCAGTATAGGAGTAGTTAATGAAATTGTAGTGTAAACACTATGAAATCATTATGGTTCCATTAACGTAATAAATGTGAATCCATAAGGAGCTGATAATGTTGGTGGAATTAAGGCTGACTTAGAGAGCAGTAGTTTTCAGATCCTAGGAGATTCCACATTGGAAGAACTAGGGGTCATCTCCCTGGAAGTGGTGACATTAGTTGCGGTTGCATGTCTTTTTTTTTTGTGCCATTTGCGGCTGTTAAACTTCTGCCCCAGCTTCCTCCGGGTCTCTAATTGAGCACTGGATTGACTTGTCCTCTTTTTCACGTTGACCCAACACAAGGAAACGACCGATGTAAGAGAGCAAGAAATGAGACCGCCTACGCCTCATGATTGACGTGTCCTTCAGTTGGAGAATAGGATCTTTATTTGGATCATCGTATCGGGTCTCAAAGAAGGAACCTGAGTTAATGTAGGAGGGAGATGCACTAGAATCAGAGGGCCAATGTTTCCTGCTCTGATTTGGCTGTTTACCAGCTGTGTGACCCTTTATTAAGGTTTGCTCCCTGGGAATCTCAGCTTTCTCATTTGTGAGATGGGAAATATAGTGTTGTATGAGGTCAAGCATATGAATCATTCAACTTGGTAACTCTAAGAGTAAGCATTATTATTCTTGAAATTAATACATTATACTGAGGTATTTGAGTAGTGGAAAGCATGCGCATTTTGAATTTAGGCTGTCCTGACTTTGAGTCTCAGCAACATATCCTTTAGCATAATGACCAAGCTGAGCTTAAAAATCATATATATTTATTTTTTTCAACTTCAACTTGTAAAATGGGGACACTGTAATCTACTTTACAGTTTTCTATGAAGGTTGGAAAAAAGAGACAGTGCTTGTCTGAGGGCTTTGTGCATTAGATAGTACCTGTCAATAGTATTCACTGATTACATGTTTCCTGTTGGAATGACAGACACTGCTGGATAGCAGGGGCAATGAACCCTTTTGGGAACAGAAGTTGGATGGCTTAGGTTGGTCAGCCCAAGACATTGTGATGTTTCTGGCCAAGCACCCAGAGGATGTCAAGTCGGCTAATGGCTCTGTATATACCTGGAGAGAAGCTTTCAACGAGACGAACCAGGCCATCCAGACCATTTCTCGCTTCATGGAGGTGAGGGCTGTGCTCAGAGGATCAGAGAATGCTTATGGTTGTTTCTGTGGGATATTGCAGTAATGTTTGGACAAGAGGCAACTTTAAAAAGTACCGTGTAGTTTTATGTCTAGCGATGTCCCTCAAGCCTTGTCATAGGGCTTGGAATAAAAATGGCATGTCATAAATGCCACTTGAGTGAATAGACAAGCAGGCTGAATCCAGCTTTATTCTCTGTTGACTCAACAGTGTTCCTAGCCACTGTCTTCTGGATTTTCTCATGTCTTGATTTTTCCAGTGCCCATTGGAAACAAGGGATTCCTTTGAAAAGGTGTTATTTGTGAAATATATCTAAAATCTACATCAAAATAAATTTTTAAAAAATATAGTTATAAAAATTGTGTTACAATAATGATGAATCAAAGTGTTTTTTTTTTATTCTATCTGGCTCATTGTTATGATTAAAAATTGCAAAGGTAGCAGGGAGAAATAAGAATCGCCTATTGTTTCAACCTTTTCTCCTTGGAAATCATTCCAAGTAGCTTATCTCTAAATACTTGCAGTATTTCTCTTAAATTTCAGTTGAAAACACATTTTTGATTGGAGAAAGGAATGCTTACTAAAGAGATGATTAAACAGTGAAGATACAAAATCCGAGCAGATAGCGCTTGCTTCTTAGGTTGGGCTCTGTCCCAGCCACTGCTTACTTCCTTGGCTGCCACAGTTCTCACAAAGGTGTTCCTCTGTCAGTGTGTCAATCTCAACAAACTGGAACCCATAGCAACTGAAGTCCGGCTCATTAACAAGTCCATGGAGCTACTGGATGAGCGAAAGTTCTGGGCCGGAGTTGTCTTCACTGGAATTACTCCGGACAGTGTTGAGCTGCCCCCTCACGTCAAGTACAAGATCCGAATGGACATTGACAATGTGGAGAGGACTAATAAAATCAAGGATGCGTGAGTGGAATCCTTCTCACCAGTCAATCTTGGGGAGGTCAGGAGCAGCTTTCCTGATGAGGTGTATTTAAATTAGATTATCAAGTTAATAGAAATTTCAACAGAGAAATCATTGGTGATTTAATTTTGGTACATTAATTTCTGGAGGTTATTGTTTTTCATTCTTTTTCATTTTAAGAGGTTTATCTATACTTCATTTCTTTAAAAAGATTTCATTTATTTATTGGTTGAATGGCAGAATGAGAGAAAGCGGGAGGGAAGAAGAGAAGGGGAGAGAGGGAGGAATGAGGGAGGAAGAGAGGGAGAGAGAGGGAGAAAGAGAGAGAGAGAGAGAGAGAGATGTCTTCCCTCAGTGTTTCAATTACGAAATGGTCACGATAGCCAAGTCTGAGTCCAGCCAAAGTCAGGAGCCAGGAACTCTGTCCAGATCACCTGTATGGGCAGAAGGGCCCCAAGTACTTGAGCCATCTGACACTACCTTCCCAGGCATGTTAGGAGGAAGCTGGCTGAGAATTGGGGTCAGAGGGACTTGAACTGGACTGTGATATGAGATGCTGACATTGTAAGCAGCGCCTTAATTTACTGTACCACAAGATTGGCCCTAGATGATTATTTTAAGGGTCATAAGATGTCAAATATCTTTAGAGTCAACATTTTCATTCAAGGGAATTAATCACAAAGGATGAATTCAGCAGAAAAAAGAATCAAAGATTAGGGATTTTCTCTGTTAGCTTTATCTATTTATTGTAATAAAAGACAAACAAATTAAAAGGGAAAGGTTAAGTAAATTTGGGGTGTTCACTTGATGCAATGTTATATAGCCAGTGGAAAGGATAAAAAAGAAAAGAGTAATATATTCATTATGATGTATTTATTTAAAAATATGTGTGCGTGTCAACTGGTACCAAAATGTGAGACCCCAGAACAGAAGCAGTGGCTTGGTAAGGGAGAGGGGGTGTAGGCCCTTGGATTGCTTCTTGTCTGGCTCTAAGGAATGCTTGGCCCCTGTGATTGGGTTTTAGGTACTGGGACCCTGGTCCTCGGGCTGATCCCTTTGAGGATATGCGGTATGTCTGGGGAGGCTTCGCGTACTTGCAGGATGTGGTGGAGCAAGCGATCATCAGGGTGCTGACCGGCACTGAGAAGAAAACTGGTGTTTATGTGCAACAGATGCCCTATCCCTGCTATGTAGATGACATGTGAGTTACCTGCAAATCACTGTCTGATTGTAACAGTTAATTCTCTGCCAGATTGTGTGTGTGTGTGTGTGTGAATTGAAAGTAAGTTACCAGTTGGAATAAGATGGAACATTGGTGATAAGATGCCAGGCCGTTAGCCGACAGAGGGACAGACCCATGCACATACTGGTCACCCTCCCTCCTTTCTGATCCCTGAATGTCATCACTTACTATTTTTGCATTCACATGTTTGGTCAAGATTTTCCCAGCCTGTGAATTGAAGATGAATGTTGACCTATACGTGCAAGCAAACATATACACATACTCCCAAGCACAGAAGCAGCAGTCTAGACTGATAAAGGCAGGTTTTCATTTTGAAGCAAATTGAATGAAACTCAACAGCAACAACAGCAATAACAGCAATAACAAAAACCTTTTATCTTAGACTTTTAAGATAATCTTTTAGTACTTAGTCACTCAGCCTTCAAGTTCTTTGGAGTTAATTGTTTCTTATAAGAGAGAATGGGCAGAGGTGTAGATATTGCAAGCATTTGAAATATGTTGTGTCCTTTGCAAATTCTGGACATTCTCTCATTCTTTCTTGTTTTGTGTGTATATGTGTATGTGTAAGGGTGTGTTTGTGTGTATGTCGGAACCATGATGAGGAAGGAGCAGGGTTTTTTTTTTTTTTTTTGCCTTAAGCACCCTATTTCTTTATGTGACCAACTACTGCTTTTCCAGATCACCTTGCAGTTATTCTATTTTTCATCTTTAAAATGACTAGCCAGAATTTTCCTAAGAAAGACCTTTCCACAGTTTTCTGAGCCAAAATTTACTCTAGAAATGATATATTCTGACAGTCCTTCTTCATAGTAGGACTTCAGAGGCATGAAGCAAGAACTTTTGCTTGTTGTCATGAAGGAAGTAAGTACCTAAGTGATAAAGCTGCAACTTGAACCTTAAGTTTCAAGGTTCAACATTTGTGTACTTTTTTTTTTTAACTTTGGAACACTGCATTCCATATTCTGGTTTGGAAACTAAGATATTACTGACAGAAACTGCCTAAAGAGTATTTCTGCATTGTGATAAGAGTTAAGCTAAACAAGCCCATAGAGAGATGACCTTGAGATGTTGTTTTATATAAGAATAACCAGGGCTTATATTTTGATTTTTTTAGTACTTTAAATTCATGCATCTTTAACTTATCAAACATTTGGTAGTTACCTAGCTTCTAAAGCAAACCTCCAAAGAAATTTTGCTTGGTAACACTTGGTTAGCTAGGTTTTCTCATCTGCGTTAAAGTGCTCACAAAGCAGTTAATAACTTGTATGTGTTGGAGTCCAGAGATCCCACCCTTTTGTGGCTCAAATGTGATTCCTGTAGTATGTGCACTCATTGTTATTGGCCCGGGCACCTGGCTCATTCATGTCTTTCATTCTTCCTGTGCCCTTCCTGGGGGTCTCCAGCTTCCTGCGGGTGATGAGCCGGTCGATGCCTCTTTTCATGACGTTGGCCTGGATTTATTCTGTGGCTGTCATCATTAAGGGCATTGTGTATGAGAAGGAGGCACGGCTGAAGGAGACCATGCGGATCATGGGCCTGGACAATGGCATCCTCTGGTTTAGCTGGTTCATCAGCAGCCTCATCCCTCTGCTTGTGAGTGCTGGCCTGCTGGTGGTCATCCTGAAGGTAAGGCCGCCCTCCTTTCCTTTCCCTGCAAGGGACCAGCAGGGCATGGGTTAAACAAGAAGAAGAAAACTGACACTGGGAGGCCAGTGATCTCATATTTTAATTTTTTATGATTTTCTCCTTTTAGGACTGGGCAGGGGGAAAAGTAAGGTGCAGGGAGGTAACCATGACTTGGTTAAAGTTAGTTCAGCTAGTTAGTAGCCAAGTAGTACTAGAAGTCAGGACCCATGCCTCTTGAGTGAGCACTATACTGTGTACTAGGCAGTGGTCCATGACAGCGCCAGAGATCTCTTTAATGTCTTGCATGTATTGGGTATTGATATTTCCTGAGTTTCTTGAAACAATAATAGATTGTCTGGAAGCAGAGGATGAGGCAGGGTTTGGCCTATTGGCATTTATTAGGGACTCCTGTGAAAAGGTTGGGGAAGGGTACGGGATAGGATCATGAGAAGAGCTGGACTGTGATACAGGGGTCATCCTTGGCTCACTCTGGAGAGAATACCACTTCCTGGAGTTGTCCCTCACTGAGTTGAAATGTCAGATCCTCTGCAAGGGATTAGGGTATTTTTCACCCTGGTCTCTCGAATCAGCCACTGAATGTGGGCTCCTTTGGGAAAGGTGGACCCCATGGCTAGGTAACTCTCATCAGCCATGGCAAACCTGGAGCTGTTAATACCTGTGGATTATATACTGGCAGCCAGATAAGAAGTTCTATGTCTGCCCCATGCATTAATATATGTATGTTCCAATTTTTTTCTCCATCAGCTTTCATACAAGAATGTATTGTATAAAAAAAGAAGATGTTTTTGACAGAAGGAAGGGAAAAGAGATAGGCAACAATGGTCAGTGTAGTATCGGTGACCATCTGTTGTTACAAACGAGCGTGAACTGATTGCCAAGTGCTATTCAAACAGATCCCATGCGTTTGCTGTCTTTTTATATCCTCGCTAAATAATGATATAGCATACAAGCAGATGAGGCTGCAGGAGGCCAGGGATTCCTGGAGGACACAGCAGGCTTTCAGAGCCAGGGTCTGAATGCAGTTCTTGCTGAAAGCAACGCCTTTCTTATGCTTTGATATCTGACTGTAATTGGGCTAAGCTCTAACAAGGGTGGTAGCCCTGGGACCATTGTATGTGGGGGGGGGACCTACTGAAACATATGACAAGAGATGATTTGGAAATACCTACGTGAGTTTGGAGGATTACAGAAATGTAGAAACCATGGGCAAATTAACATCATCTGTCTGTTAACCTTGGATTTTGGAGAGAAAAGTTGTGTAAAATGTCACCTCCCAAAATTCTTTCCTGGGACCAATAGTACCAGTCCAGTTAACATCACCAGTGATAGAAACAAAGAGAAAGAACAGAAAAACCCTTCCAGTACTTTTCTGTGTCGTTTTGGGTAAGTCATTTTTCTGTGGAAGATCTCAATTTCATCACTAGAAAAATGAGTGGCTTTATTGCATTATCTCCAAGAGGAGTCGAAGAAACGTTGACTTTTTTTCAAAGACCTGCCATCGAGCATCGAAACTTGGTGAGGAAGCACATTAAATGGGTCTCTTCCTTCCCAGTTAGGAAACCTGCTGCCCTACAGTGATCCCAGCGTGGTGTTTGTCTTCCTGTCTGTGTTTGCTGTGGTGACCATCATGCAGTGCTTCTTGATCAGTACGCTCTTCTCCAGAGCCAACCTGGCCGCAGCCTGTGGGGGCATCATCTACTTCACGCTGTACCTGCCCTATGTCCTCTGTGTGGCCTGGCAGGACTACGTGGGCTTCGCACTCAAGATCTTCACTGTGAGTAACTGTGGCGGGTAGGCGTTGGACCTTCCCTTCCAGATAGATGAGAGTAAGTCTCAGTAAGAGGAAAACAAGACGAGAGACTCTTTCCAGTGGGACTTGAACCTTTTTGCTAACGTTGAAGCTCCTTGCAGGCAGGAAGTATGCTACCAATTTCTTAGTTCTTTTTTTTTCCCCGAAAGTCAGACTGTATTTTGAATCTGGCTTGAGATAAATGGCGTGGGGAATACTTTTTAGATAATAGATTCTTGTCCTAATGATGCTGCGAAGTTATGACCACAGATAGAATTGGAGGCCCTTGAGGTTCAGAAATGTCTGCTTCTTGACTCTTGTCTTCCTTGTATCCTGAGTGAGTGTGTGTGTGTGTGTGTGTGTGTGTGTGTGTGTGTGTGTGTGTGTTTGCGCACACATTGAAAAACTTAGTTATTTATTTTATTTGGAAGTTAGAATTACAAACAGGAAGGAGAGATTTGTGTGCTAGTTTACTCCCCCTAGTGGCCGCAATAGCAGGGACTAGGGCAGGCTGAAGCCAGAAGCCCAGAGCTTCTGGTTCTCCCTTGTGGCTGCCAAGGGCCAAGCACTTGGGCCCATCTGCTGCTTCCTCAGAGGCATTAGCAAGCAGCTGGACCGGAAGTGGAATATCCTGGTCTTAACTGGCACCTCTGTGGGATTCTCGCATTGTGGGTGCCACATACCACAATGCTGGCCCAGAATGGTATTTATTTGAGCAGTGTTTTCTGAGTGAGACCGTGAGGAGTAGGTGGCCTAACTTTCCACAAACTCCTGACTTAGACTGATTTATTTCCTTTGTATAGAATAGGAGAGGCTTTGAGTGTATGTGGATCCCTATAAGAACAATTTTCTAGCTATCCTCTGGGCCACTTACAAAGAAAGCTGCCAGCCACTCACAGGATGCTTCAACGGCCTCAGTCTGGGCCTCATAGACAGAAGTAGCCCCATTCAGGCTCTTGTAGACCTGAGCGTCACACTGGCTGAGCAAGGGAGCCTGAGGGGCCCTTGATGAATGGCGATGCCTGTGTGTGTATGGGGAGGCAGGGAGGGCTGACAGGGGAAGTGGCAGGGAGGGAGGCTGCTGAACCTTGGAAGCATTACATTCTAAAAGTTTTATTCTCTATCACATATGCATCTCTGAAATGTGTGTGCATAATGAGTAGATATAAATGGAATCGTTTCACATGCTACTAGGGAGCCCACTCCCCTAAAGGGACTGTCTGGGTGAGTTCTTGCATATTCTGTAATATGCAATATTTTGCAAGTTCTAATTTCTCCAGGTGGAATTTACATTACAAGTGTTAGAAGATGAGAGAGACAAAGAGATGGATATGACTTTTACTTCTATCTTACAGAGCCTGCTGTCTCCTGTGGCTTTTGGGTTTGGTTGTGAATACTTTGCCCTTTTTGAGGAACAAGGTGTTGGGGTGCAGTGGGATAACTTCTTTAAGAGCCCTGTGGAGGAAGATGGTTTCAATCTCACCACTTCAGTCTCCATGATGCTGTTTGATGCCTTCCTGTACGGGGTGATGACGTGGTACATCGAGGCTGTCTTTCCAGGTACCCTGGGCTTCTCCACTGCTTTGGCCATCTGAGAGACATATATGATTTATAGCTTTGGACTTTCATTTTTCTCCGCTTGAATTTCTGCAGGGCCTGGGACTCCCTAGGATGTGCTTGGGCTTTAGATCGCGGGCCAATGAATAGTCTAAGGAGAGCAGCTGATGTTAAAAGTACAACCAATACTGTTAAAACAGTTCTGAGCATTGTATACTAGACACTGTACAAAATGTTTCATAGTCTGGTTCCCGTAATCCTCATAAGGCTGCTCTGAGCTAATGACTGTGTAACAAGTACTTTTCAGATGAGAGACCCATGACTCGGCAATTAAGGAACTTGCCTGTGGTTAAATGGCTGGTTGAATGTTGGTACTTAGAAGTGAACCCAGTTAGGTTACACTAGGTCAGTGAGCCTGAGAGATTTCTGCCCAGTGTTGACTCACTTCTGTGTCTCCAGAGAGCTATTTGAGAGGGTTCTGTTTTCTGAGGACAGGTTGCGAATAACAGAATACAGTGGCTCCAAGGCCTTGCCTGTGACTTAATCAAATTAGCATCTAATGAAAGTTCAGTTTGATTCTTTTCTTAATAAGTCTATGATGACTCTAACTTGGGATGACTTTCCATCCGAGATCTAATACCAGGAGAGCGAGGCTTAACTCTGCTGTAAGCATAGGTATATATAAAATATCGATGTATCCCTACCTAAATGTTTTGTTGTTGTTGTTGAGAATGCGATTTTGTATGATGCAGATCTGATGTGAATTCATATTCTGAGCCCTTAGGTCTCTGGCTGAGTGACCTTTGGTTATGCTCAACGTTCCTAGTGGAGATGGTCCCTACCCTTTGGGGTTATTGAATACTCCTAGACATGCAGAATTTGTATCATTCATAATGGGTTTCAGCAAATGTTAGCTCCCTCTCGCCCTACCTCCTTTCCTGTCTGTTCCTTCTCTTTTGGGTGTATGAGAGTGAGTGACTTGGGGAATCTAGAGATTACGAGGTTGGTGCTCAGCTTGCCTCACACCTGTGCTTGCTTTCAGGCCAGTATGGCATTCCCAGACCCTGGTATTTCCCATGCACCAAGTCCTATTGGTTCGGTGAGGAAAGCAATGAGAAGAAGCACCCCGGTTCAAGCCAGAAGGGAATATCAGAAAGTAAGTGCTGCTGACACACTCTTCCCTTAATCCAGTGCTATTGTTCTCCTTGACTGTTGGAGTCAAGTGATGACTCAGAAGTCACCTGGCAAAATTTCCTTTAAAATTCTCCCATGCTGTTTGTGTGTAGTGTTATTAACTTACAGAGACTCTGTCTGGATCCCTAAGTCATGCTGCTTCTGTGTGCTTGGCTGTTTTGACCTCTGTACCTCTCTGTTGCCATACACATGTTTCGTGCTATTTTATCAAGCTAGAAGGAAGAGGTGGGGTGGACTGGGACTGTGTGTCTGTGAAGCCTAGCCTTTGTTCTCTGCTTTGTCATGAGTATTCGTGATTAAGGTTGTACAGACTGGCATCAAGTCACTTCTTATGCTTCTTGGTCTTCTTCAGTATTCTCACCCCTCACTACCTAGAACACTGATCCTTTCCTGGCTTCTGACCGCAGGTGGAGAAGCCCATGGCCCAGCAAAGGCTCTGCCTGCTTCTTTTTTTTTCATGTCTTCTCAGTGTGACTTCCTTCAGTGATTGATAGGCCTCTCTCCTCCTTTTTTTTTTTTTTCTTAACTTTCAAATTTATGTTGACTCAATGGTTATAATAAATCCACAAGCAATGGGAATAGGGAAGAATGGAATATCTGAATCACAGAAATCGGCACAGCAAACTCTCCACGGGCATGATTGAACTCACCAGTTATCTCCCCCATTCCTATAGTATAGTTATTTTAAAAATATTCTGTAAATGAAGCCATCTAGCAGGCAGCCTGTTGAGAGTGGCCTTTTGTGCTTAGGATAATTTCCTGTGATACTCCCAAGTTGTGGAGTGTATCAGCTGCTCATTCCTTTTCATTGTGAAGCAGTATTCCTTGGTGTGGGTGTTCTAACTTTTGTGCTGTCTTTAGGTATGTTTTTAAAGCACCTGCTGGCATCCTGTATTTTGTTTGTCAGATCTTCTTTCCTCTGCAATTCTACAGCACAGATGTCTTTATTATTGTGTTTCTCTCATCAATATCTATGCCCAAATTTGGCTTCACAGATGTTGATAGCCTCTGGCTTGCCTGTGAGTTGGGTGGTCTGAGGGTAGAGGCACAGCCCCCAGTTTTCACACTCCTCATCAACATTCTCTGTACCTACCCCTTCTTCTCTCTTGCCACAGTTTGTATGGAAGAAGAGCCCACCCACTTGAAGTTGGGTGTGTCCATTCAGAACCTGGTGAAGGTTTACCGGGATGGCATGAAAGTGGCTGTTGATGGCTTGGCACTGAATTTCTATGAGGGCCAGATCACCTCCTTCCTGGGACACAATGGAGCAGGGAAGACGACCACCATGTAAGATACGAATGTGATCACAGAATCACAGTGTAGTTAGAAATGTCTGCCCGAGGAGGTCTGGGTCACTGGGGCAAAGGCAAAGCATATGGGTGTAAAATTATGATGTAATCAGGGCAGTGCTCTCAGTGCGTGATCTTACTAAATGTCGTTTTTGCCTGAAACATAAAGGGCCCTTGTAGGACCTTTCCCTTGTACTTCCTGGTGGTCTCCCAAGTTCTTGGACTCGGAGGCCGTGCAAATTCTGAGAAGGGGTCTCCTTTTGAGTTGGTTTGGTCAGAACAATAAGGATGAGTGTGGAAGGAAGTGTTGGATGTATTAGGTGGGCTGGTAATTTTCAGACGCTCTGTCTCTAAGTGTCTGTGAAGACTATCTGGGAAGCTGACTCCACACTCCTTCCCTGGGATCTGTAAGGATCTCATATTAACAGCCTTCCAAGGAAGCAAGGGCCGTGAAGTGCCGGAGGTACTCTGAGTGGCTTTTAGTGTGTTGCCTTGGCCATTCTAAAGGGTGTGTCTGAATATGATTTTCTTTTCCTTTTTTTCTTAAGATTTATTTTATTTTTATTGGAAAGTCAGATATACAGAGAGGAGGAGCAGAGACAGAGAGGATCTTCTATCTGATGAGTCACTCCACAAGTGGCCAAAACGGCCCGAGCTGTGCTGATCTGAAGCCAAGAGCCCAGAGCCTCTTTTGGATCTCCCACATGGGCTCATGGTCTCAAGGCCTTGGGCCATCCTCGACTGCTTTCCCAGACCAGAAGCAGGGAGCTGGATGGAAAATGAGGCTGCTGAGACCAGAACCAGTGCCTATATGGGATCCTGGTGCATGCAAGGCGAGGACTCTAGCAGCTTGGCTACTGCACCAGGCCCTCTTTTCCTGTTTTTATCTTTTTGTATAATGTAAATCAAAATATTATTAAATTGTCAAGAAAATGTGAATAGGTACTCCACAATCGTACCATCTAACACAGACTTAATTTTTTTCTTTGAATAATTTGTTCTGGTCTGTCAGTTTTTTTGTGCATAAGAAGTTAAGCATAAAAGATATGTTTTTACAGAATGCTTTTCATTGCAAATTGGACACTTCATTTTTAAATGCTTATACTAAAATTGCCATTTCTAGTGTACAGGCCCAATTCTAGTTACTCCTTAACATGGAGCACTTGTTTGTGCTGTGGGGTCTGCTGGGGTCTCTTAGGGTCCATTGGGTAGGAACTGTGGGCAGGCAGTTGGTGCCCTCCATCCTCTGCCTGGGTGGGCAGCATCCAGAGGTGTGAGGTGGTCAGCTCTGACTCCTGTACTCTTTGCTTCTCAGGTCCATCCTGACTGGACTCTTCCCTCCCACCTCGGGCACGGCCTACATCCTGGGGAAGGACATCCGCTCGGAGATGAGCACCATTCGGCAGAATCTGGGTGTCTGTCCCCAGCACAATGTGCTGTTTGACATGTGAGTACCAACCCCACTTTGGGAAGAGGCCCTCTCTGGATTTGTGTGTCATGAAGTCATGAGTGGAAGGGACTTAAGCATTTCATCTTCTTTGGGCATGGCAGGTCTTGTCTTCCTAGACATGTTGAGGCCTAGTTATCCCTTGATTGTAGGAAAAGTGGAAACAATTGTCTGGATGGTACGTATGGTACAAGTCCAGCCAGCAGACCAAGGCTTGGCAGTAATGCTCTCCATCACTGTTATTTGGAAGAGTCTCTTAGCCTACTCCTCCCTGGAGCAGTACTGACCACACCTGGCAGGGCCTCATGAAACCTTCCTGCAGTGGCCCCGTGCTTCTTGCTCCTCTCCCAGTTGTCCTATGAGGAAGTAGGGACCACAGGAAAGCTTCATGTTGAAACAGAGAAAGAACTGAGCTCTGACCTGGAGTGAGACCTTCCTCCTGGTGAACCTCAGTTGCTGTTTAACTAATTTAAACATCTTGGGGGGTCACATGCCCCCCAGCGTCTTTCCATCATTTAATCTCAGCTTTCTTGAGACTTGTGCACCATCCAGAGGTGAGAGTTGGTCCGGGTTAGTGCCGAGCCAACATTCTGATTGGTTGAGTCACAGAAAGGCCCTTTGAAAACCACACATTGAGTGTCTGAAGTTTTACATTAGAATTGTCCAATGGTTGGGGGCCGGGCCTAGTGGAAACCAGTGGGAGGGCATCTGTCATGCTTCCTGAGCAGATCAAGTTTGTGACTGCTGCTCTCCTTTGAATGCTGAAGCTTGTTCTTCAGAAGGACCCAGAGCTGACCTGTCCTTCTGTCTACAGGCTGACTGTGGAAGAGCATATCTGGTTCTATGCCCGCCTCAAAGGGCTCTCTGAGAAGCACGTGAAAGCAGAGATGGAACAGATGGCGCTGGATGTTGGCTTGCCACCCAGCAAGCTGAAGAGCAAAACAAGTCAGTTGTCAGGTGAGCTTGCAGTTGCCTTCTCCACTCTCCCTGCCCTCCCCCTGCAAGTGGGCACTCACACGGAAAGAACAGCTCTTCTGGAATCCTGGGCTGGGTGAGTGGGGAGCAGGAACTTGTCCCAAGCCATGTTCCCAGGCGGGGTGCGTCCATGAGGCTTTCACCAGTGCACCTCCACTCACCCTCTGGGGCTCGTCCTGGAGCACGTCTCTATTTCTCGCAGGTGGAATGCAGAGGAAACTGTCTGTGGCATTGGCCTTTGTCGGGGGGTCCAAGGTTGTCATTCTGGATGAGCCCACAGCTGGTGTGGACCCTTATTCCCGCAGGGGAATATGGGAGCTGCTGCTGAAATACAGACAAGGTAATTGTCTTGTATTTATTCTGAGTCATGGACTGGGAAGGGAATGGTTGCTGACAACTACAGTGTGTCTCAGGGCTCTTTTTGGATGGGAAACACAATTGCCTTTCAAGGAAAATGCGAATCTTTTCTTAAAGCTCAGTGCTTGGCCATGGCATGTAGGTGGGAAGTCTGCTTTACAAGATACTTAAAGCTAATGCCTTATTACTTAGGGCCCTGCAAGAAGCAGAGAAATGGGGATAAAGGACATTTCCCCTGCATCCTCTGTACTTCCCAACCCTCAATGTTCCTCTGGTGCAGACATTGGATGTGTGTGTTTAATTGTGTTCCCATATAAACTGAGATTTGTGAGAGCCGTGTCTATCTTTGTTCATTTGCTTGTCCCCAACATGATGCACTAAACTTACGTTTGTTGAAATAGTGGAAAAGATTTGAGTGGGATGAGAAGTGAATGGAAAGAGCAGGAACAGGATTGGCAGTCTGCTTAGAGACGGTGTGAGGAACACAGCTCTGGCTGGCACTGAGATTTTGCAAAGTCATTTAACTTGCATCAGTTTTCTTACCAGTAATAAGACTGACATTTGCTTCTGAGAGGATGAAGTTCCATGAGAATGCACGCAAAGCAACTTGTACAGTGCCTGACACATAGTGAGTCCCCAGACAGATGCTGCTCTTTTTATTCTAATGAGGATGCAGCACTGAAACCTTTATCAGTAGAGTAATGACAGTGCGCTGGGTTGAAGACTGCTCCCAGAGCTTCCCCCGTGCTTATTCCTGCTAATCTCTTGAAAGTCCCTCCCACTTTGAGCAGTGAGAACTGACATGCCTCATTGCTCCCACTTCTCTGTGTTTATGCTCGGCAGGCCGCACCATTATTCTCTCTACACACCACATGGATGAAGCGGACATCCTGGGGGACAGGATCGCCATCATTTCCCATGGGAAGCTGTGCTGTGTAGGCTCCTCCCTGTTCCTGAAGAACCAGCTGGGAACAGGCTACTACCTGACGCTGGTGAAGAAAGATGTGGAATCCTCTCTGAGTTCCTGCAGAAACAGCAGCAGCACTGTGTCATATCTGAAAAAGGTGAGTCAGTACTGGGCCGGGGCTGGGACCAGGCCATCAGCACCTGATGACTGCAAATGGCTTGTCCGCCTCTGCCCCATTTTTCCATACCGAAGCCACTGGCTCCATTCTTTGTGATTGCTCTGGGACTACATCATAGTTCCTACATGAAAAGCTTAGGAGACCTCTTCCCATTGTAACAACTCTGCTCAATCCTCTTTCCTTTTTCTTACTGTGAACAATGGATAGGATCTTTAAAGGACTGCATTACATCACAGAAGAAACTAAGAGCCTTGGCTACTAAATGCATTGCTATTCCAACTCATTACTGTTAAAGCTCATTGACTACAAAGCAGAAGATATTTATTAAGCACCAGCTTCATGCCACAGGGACGCTGGGCATGAAAAAGAACAATGCTGATATACTTTTTTGGTACTGTTGCCATTTGTGATTTTTTTTACATATATCATCTCAAATAAAGTGCAGAGCAACCCTTGGAAGAAGGTATCATGATTATTCCAGAGGAGAGAGTGATGCTTACAGGGATTTGATAACTTATTCAGTCACCTAGTGGGTAGATAACCCATTATCCAGTTACATTTACCTGTGGACCACAGTAAAGGCCGAGAGTTCTTTTTGTTGAAACTCATGGCACCTCCTTGTATATGGTATCTCTACCTTGAACTCTAACTAATTTATTTGTCTTTTTACTCAAGCCTCCTTAATCATAACTGTGTAAGGACCAGCAGCATCAGGGTTGCTTGGAAACTTGTTAGAGATGAAGCACCTTGGGCCCAACTCAGACCTACTGAATAAGAATCTGCTTTTTAGCAGGGTTCCCAAGGGACTGAAAGCCCATGCAAGTTTGAGATGCATTGAACTCGTTGAACAGCCAGGTGACTCCCATGCCTGAGATCATTGGCGAGTGCCTGGTTGGCATGTTCATTGGCAGCCCAGTTATGTTGACAACTCTGCTCCCTGAGGTGTAATCTTTAGGAGGCAAGACTGTATACACACACACACACTCACACACTCACACTCTCACACTCACACATATTCACACATCACACCAGTCTGTGGCCCCTGAAGCTGTGAGTGCCAGCTGCATGCCTCTCCAGTTCTTAATTCTGTGGAGCTTCTTGAAAGCCCTCCCAACGAAGGTGGTGGTGGCTGTACCTTGCTCAGTCCCTGACCCATTCTCACCTCCTTCTTTGCCATCAGGAGGACAGTGTTTCTCAGAGCAGTTCTGATGCTGGCCTGGGCAGCGACCATGAAAGTGACACGCTGACCATCGGTAAGGACTGTGGGGTTTCTTATTCAGGTGGTGCCTGAGCTTCCGCCAGCTGGGCAGAGTGGAGGCAGAGGAGGAGAGGTGCAGAGGCTGGTGGCGCTGACACAAGGTTTGCTGCTGGGCTGGGGCTGGGAGGCTGTGGGTGTTGGGGGCAGCTGGTGGCGGGTTGGCCTAATGCTTGCAGGGGAGCCTGGGGCTTTGGGGGGAGCTGGTAGGGCTATGTTTCAATAAACTAAGGTGATTAGATGTTGGAGAATCTCTTCGAGGAAGGTGTATGGCTGGGTACTTGAAGGCCAGGGATGAGGAGCTGAGGGCCAAGCCACCAGGGGAGATTTGAGCTTAGTTCATAGGAAGGCCAGAGGAGAATCTTCTAGTCTTTCCTCGGTCGCTGTGCTTGGAAGGTTAGCATTACCGGTAGCATGTACTTAATAGAAATCATGATGCTGGCCATCTATTCCCAGTCATAACAGCTGGTATTTTCTGGAAGACTTCTGCTTGTAGGAAGTATTTGATTAACCCTCTGTTAGGATAAATAGAGGTGGCTGCCTTTAGAAGTTTAGGGAGGAGTGAAAATTTTAAGGCTTATTCATATTTTTCATTGAAATATCCTTTAACTAGCCAATAAATGCCAGGCTTGTAGCCTCCTTAAGCTGTCTATCAGTCAGTCTATCTGTCCACCATCCCTTTGTCTACCCTTAAATACATCATGCACAGAGTGCTGCAGAGTGCCTGGCTTTGGTGATTTGAAGGTGAACAGGACTCCCTCCTACTGCCCCTCCCCATAGCCCTCACACAAGTGATAGAGCAATGACTGAAGCATTTGGGGTGGGAGTGGTGTGTGGGCTGTGGGCTTCTAGCAGTACGCGGAGGGAGATGGGGATGGTGGACCCACTGTGGGGCCTTTGAAGCACCTGGGCACTGTGTTCTCTGCAGATGTCTCTGCTATCTCCAACCTCATCAGGAAGCATGTGTCTGAAGCTCGGCTGGTAGAAGACATTGGGCATGAGCTGACCTATGTGCTGCCATATGAAGCTGCTAAGGAAGGGGCTTTTGTGGAACTCTTCCATGAGATTGATGACCGGCTCTCAGACCTGGGAATCTCTAGTTATGGCATCTCAGAAACCACCTTGGAAGAAGTGAGTTAACTGTTAGAATATCAACTGCCTTTCAGAATATAACTACAGTCCCACTGTCAGACAGGTAGCCTACCGTGAGTATGGGATTACCCTGGAGTAGACCATTAAGTGTCCAGGTCATTGACATCCGAGTGATGTTAGCCTTATTTACCCACTGAATATCATAGTGGGAAATTCTAGGAAAACAGGATTACTCCCTGAGGTGACTTTGTCATAGTCAAATGTCAACTGGACCCTGGTGGCATGGGAAAGGATCAATGTTTATAGATAGTGTAATAGTACCAGAAGTGAATCTTTGTTTATAATCATTGTAACCTCATGTAATTCTCATTGCAAGGTAAGAAAATTGATAGGGACACTGAGTTGTGATTTTGCATTCAAGAGTTTAGGGCTTCAAAGGGCTTCAAAGCCCATGTTCTCTTTAGCAATGCCGTTCTTAAGCAGACACTCTTAAGGTGTTACAGATTTTCAGGTTGGAGGGGTGATGAAAGTTGTTCGACCCAGTGGGCCACAGGCTTGACTGTGTAGTAGAATCACCTGGAAATTACTGACAGTAAAAATTCTAAGAATCAGTTCCAGAGCCTTTGAACTGGGATTTGTAGAAGCAGGACCTTGAAGTCTGTAATTTTATTCTAATTTATACTTCCTATGCAGTGGACTGTAGACTAAGCATTGCAAATCATTGGTTTAGTTCAGATTCTCCCCTGATGCTTAAGTATCTGCCATAATATTTCCAGTAATGGTGAACTCATTTTTATCCTAATTATTCTGTTTTGGATGGTCTACCACAGTGTTGGTTTGTACAAAGATTTAGAGCCACAGACCTAAAAGATGCCTTTTTGACTCATTCCTTGTAGGTTGAGAACATTTTTTGTTTTTGTCACTTAATGTCATGGCTTTAATTTAAAATGATTGGAAATGATAACTCTCATCTCTGAAGAAATGTTTGCTGGCAGAAATGACTTGCAAAATGTTGCCAGTAACCATCTTCTGTCTTAAGAGACTAACGTGACATTCAAAAGTAATCGTAGCCATGATGGTTGTTCTCAAGTGTTGGTACTTATAAGGTTCTCACCTACTTTTATTTTTCAGATATTCCTCAAAGTGGCTGAAGAGAGTGGAGTGGACGCTGAGACCTCAGGTGACCTTCTTGAGAGGGACCACATAGGCTTTGGGTGGTGCCCTCTCTCCTGACTCACCAGTATCATACCTTTCCTTCGAGTTCTCACGTTTTAGTACATTAGCTTGCAATAGGTGGGGAAGATTCGCTCTGTTATAAATATAAGAGCATGTGACACTTGTTCCTTTCACCTTCAGATGGTACCTTGCCAGCAAGACGGAACAGACGGGCCTTTGGAGATAAGCAGAGCTGTCTTCGCCCTTTCACTGAAGACGATGCCATGGATCCAAATGATTCCGACTTAGACCCAGGTTCGTCTGCGTGCGACCTGTGTTCTGCTGTTTGAACATGCATTTCTCTTATGTCCTCACTTGTTTCCTTTTCATGACCTTTTGCTGAGGTGAGAGATTCCCTACAGGAAATGGGAGAAAATGAGAAAAGCTACTTTTCTAGCATTGTGTATGAGGTCAAACCTGAAAGAATCCGTTGTCATCATTTCTATCTGTTGTTGAGATCTTTCTTTCAAAATATCCATATTAAGATGATGTCTCTGGATCCATTTGCTATATTTTCTGTAGGGTCCAAGATTCTTGTATGTAATAAATAATAATTGCTGAATAAATCTTCATTGAGTGATAGGCAAATTTTCTGGCAGAATTAATTTTACCCTTAGATTTAGATATTTTAGACCGGTATCTCCTTGCATCTAGGACTGAGATAGAAGGGATAGGTAAGGAAGGAGAACACTCAGTTAGAAATCATTAGCTTATTACAAGGATCTCTGTAAGAATTTTAAGAACAGAAAACTTTGTCTCCCAGTACATTTTCGCATGAGTGTGGGCTCTTATGTTCTCCCTGACTTCATATATTGTCTGTTCTTAGATCATTTGAAATGAGTCTGCTTTGCCAAATATATCATAGGAGACTAAGTGCTATTGTGTGTTCTCAAGTATGTCAGCCAGTTTCTGTAAGAAGTTGATGATGGCTTGTTCGCCTGGCTGACTTGCTGTAGCAGACAGTTTTGTGTGAGCTTTCTCAAGGCATCTTCGGTATTTGCACTCATCAGACAGTGATTGGTATGCAGAGACTGTGCCGGCAGACAGCTTGGGTCATAACTTTGCCTTGGACATAAGGTTAATCATGAGATTCTGTAATTTTGAAGTAGCTCTAGCTTCAAACAGAACCTGCAAGAAAGAGGCTGGGTGAAGAGCATGATGCTGTCAAGACTAGCTGAGACGACAAGTGACCTTCAGTGTTGGTTTCTTGCAGAATCCAGAGAGACGGACTTGCTCAGCGGGATGGACGGCAAAGGCTCCTACCAGGTGAAGGGCTGGAAGCTCACCCAGCAGCAGTTTGTGGCCCTTTTGTGGAAACGGCTGCTGATTGCCAGACGGAGTCGAAAAGGATTCTTTGCTCAGGTGAGATGTGATGCTCCCGGCCAGGAGTTCTGGCATCATGGGTGACTATAGGCCCTTTTACCATAGAGGCAGAATGATTTTGTGGCAAGAGGTGGATTCTGGAGCCATTTATCTGTTCTGCTTCTTGTATTTCCTGGCAAATTACATATCTGTGTCTCAGTTTGCTTATCTGTAGAATGGGGATAATAATAGTTCTTATGTTGTAGAATTGTTTTATGAAGATAAGAATGAATGAATGCCTACAAGGGGGCCTGACACTGGAAGTATATTGTGTGTGTATGTGTGTTACTTTTGTACTTTAGAGAATATAAGAGAGAAGTTTAGAACTAGTTGGGATTCAACTTTTACAACATGGGAGATGCTATACCAGATGCACTGGGCATATGAACTTAGTAAAAGCATAGTCTCTAAGTCCAAGTTTAGCTCAAGCTGATAGACAACATAGCCAGAGAGATCTGAATATAACTGGCAGACTGAAAAGGCTCATTACACTATTGCCTGCTTGTCAGTATTTGCATGCTAAGACTTTGGTGTGAATAAGTTACTTCATCTCCAATCTGTAGTCACTCTGTTTGATAGAGTAATGGTAGTAGTTAAATAATACATTTCTCACTGTACTTTTTTCTAAAAGAACTATTCATTCAATGTTAATTTTAGTACATGTGCCGCCGAAGCGAGCACCCAATGTTAATTTTAAGCAGGGAAACTATGGAATACTAGCATCAGGGTCTTATTTAAAACTCCATTTTGAAAATATTTGTTTTTATTCAAAAGGCAGATTTACAGAGAGAAATAGAGACAGGGAGAAAGATTTGCCATCTGCTGGGTCACTCTCCAAATGGCTGCAATGGCTGGAGCTAAGCCAATCCAAAGCCAGGAGCCAGAAGTTTCTTCCGAGTCTCCCATGCAGATTCAGGATCTCAAGGCTTTGTGCCGTTTTCCACTACTTTCCCAGACTATAAGCAGGGAACTGGATGGGAAGTGGAATACCTGGGATATGAAATGAGCACCCATATGGCATGCTGGAGGATTAGCCAGTGGTGCCATCATGCCAGCCCTTCATTTGAAACTTCTAAGATAGAAGTTTTCATCGACCTACCAACTGGAAGAGCATCTGTTTGTATTGCCCCTGGGTGGCTCCCTTACCATAGAGTTGGTTTTGTCAGAGAGTGGATTCCTAATGTGCCACCTCTTCCATGTCTTCAGATTATACACAAGGAAAGTGAGGACAGAGGGGAGAAGCGTATCTTGGGTACATGTGTGGTAGAATCAGAATCAAAACTGAGGCTTCTGGCTCTGGTCCAGGACTTGCTTTCTTAGCCTTCCCCTGAGCTGAGCAGCCCCCTGGCCCAGCACAGTTGGCCTGAGTCTTCATGTGGCAGTTTTCAATGGCAGAGCCTGATGTTCTGTGTCACTTTGACATGTGATCACTGTTTACTCTGTGAAGTTCCCAGCTTGGTGTGTCTGTCAGGCTGCCAAGGCAGAAGTTTCATTTTCAGACTTCAGTTTTTTTCCTAGCTGCCATGAATACTTTTTGAATACAAGTTCAGCTATGGGCTTATACCCTTGCACCCTGCACTGGCTGGTCTGGGAGGCTGGCTGGACTCCCACTGGCTTGTCCCTGACCCTTTCTAACACTTACCCTTTTCCTGTCATTCCCTTCCCCCTCTACTGCCTGTTTATAGATTGTCCTGCCAGCTGTGTTCGTCTGCATTGCCTTGGTGTTCAGTCTGATTGTACCACCGTTTGGCAAGTATCCGAGCCTGGAGCTTCAACCCTGGATGTACAATGAACAGTACACATTTGTCAGGTATGTGCTTGCCTTCTGTGTCCCAGGGAAGAGGGAAGTTCAAGCGGACCAGGCATGTTTCTATGCTGAGAGTGAAGCGAATGGAACTAAACAGAGGAATGGGTGTCATCAGCTGTGACTAAGGCCCCTGCCAAACTATTGCTGCGTGCATCGAAGTGCCCAGAACTAGCCTTGAAATAATAGGCAGTGTTCTTTCAGCCTTCATACTGCTGTTAGGAGTAGCCATGTGTGTTTTAGGTAAAACAATCTACCCTGCCTAAAATCTCTGGTCAAGTAATAAAATATCCTAGTGTTAGCTGTGTAATTGAGTCACAGGGCTTTTACATGCTGACAAAACACAAACTCTGGGTTCTTGTTCTCTGCAAAATTCCTATAATTGTTATTTGTCCTTTTAAATTTGGGATATTAGCTTGTGTTTAGTTAAGAGTAGCTCCTACTGTGAGGCAATCCTTTCCATCAGACAAAAGGACAAATCTTTAGTCTTGTAGAAATTATAGGCCCATAGATGGAGATAGGCATCAGTGATATAAAAGGAAAGCTTTTATATATAATATTATATTGTATATGATTTAGTCTCTTTTTCTCCACCTCCATGTTATCTTCCTAAGCATCAAGTATGTTTTTATGATTTCCTTTCCTATCTTCTTTATCTACTTTTTGTTGCCCACAGCTGCAGAACATAACATTTGTTTATGATCTGTGCCCAATATTTTGTGTGTTTTCTAGGTATCCATGCAAACATTCAATAAAATCTGCCTCTTTGTTTTTTTAAAATTATGGTTGTCTATATGAAATAGATAATTGTGAAGTATTTCTGAAATACAAATATTTACTGGATTTCTTTACTTGAAATTAAAATACCTGTGCAAATATGTTTAATTAGGATATACATTCACACACATATGTGCACACACCTTCATACATACAACATACAACCTTTCTGTCCAAGCTCCACTTTGGAATGCCGTGTGTTATCTGACCAGAAGCTGAGCTTTTGTGAGAGGGGGATTTCTATAGCTCATTCATTCCTGCTTTGAGTGTTTCTTACTTTAGAAAACTTTCTGTCTCTTGATGTCTGGTTGAAATGAGTTACTGAGCTGGCGCTCTCTCATGTATCCACAGTAATGACGCTCCAGAGGACACGGGCACCCAGGAACTGTTGAAGGCTCTCACCAAAGACCCTGGCTTTGGGACCCGGTGTATGGAAGGAAACCCAATCCCGTGAGTGACACTTGAGCCAAATACTGGCTTCTTGTGCTTGTCCCCTGACTTGTTTTTAATACATTGTATCTATCAGCTGCATGTCACAGTGTGGTCACCATTTGTTCTTTGAATTATCATTTATCTCTAAAAAGCCACTGGACTAACCTGATCAGATGGTCTAGGCCTTTGGAGTCTTCTAACATCCTGCAAAGCTAATCATTAGAGACGTTTGCATACTGCTTTAGAGCATTAATATTTGATTTCAATAGCACTTTGTGCTTAGTGATCAAAGATTGTCCTCTTTCTTTCTTTCTTCCTTCTTTACCTAAGTGCTTCAGTAGGTTGCTGTTGTGTAAGATTTACTGCTTGCTTATTAGTTTCTTCCCTTTAAAACCTGGGCAAAAACATAAGTGACTCTGTTAACGACAGCAGCAAGACTGATACCTAAATACATGAGGGCGCATCAGAAAGCTTATAGAAAAATTGAATTAAGAGATGCTTATTCTGTGTAAAAAGTTGAAATCAGTAAAATCGATTTTTCGTAACATGCATTATTATGAACTTTATGGAGACTTTTTATATGCATGAATTTCAGAATTCTTTGCACCAAAATCATCTTTTATTTCCATTATATATTACCTTCCTGAAGTATCCTTGTCTAAGGTCTGTGATTTCTAAATGGAAAACTCCAATGTAACTGTTAGCTCTGAATTGATATTACTCAGATACTAAATACTTACCAAAAACACTATTGGCTCACAAATAACAAGATCACGAGGGCAGAAAAGGACACAGGCACAGCTTATTGGGTTTTACGAAACCTTTGAGATGGCACATTTTATTTTGTAGACAAAATAAAAGAGTGAGAGGAGATGATCGTGAAGTTAGCTGGATTCACTGCTGGCTGGCCAAACTCTATAGATTCATGGATTGATGCCTGTCTAGGAAGGATCTAGAAGAGTCAGAACAGGGCTAAGATTAAGCCTACAGGCTCTGAAGTTGCTGTTCTTGACATCACAGGGCAGTGCTGGCTTCATGCTTAAAGCAGTCTGATGGAGGAGACAAATGTGGCAACTCTCACTGAAATCAAATGTTATGTTTTTCAAAAGGTGGTGGAACTGAAATAAGCTGAAACAAAGCCATTGTGTAGTTTTACCATTGGAAAAAAATAAGCTCTTAGAAGGTGGTAGGTTGTCTGATGCTGTCACACAAATTCAGAGCTTTGATCAGGAATAGAGACCTTGTGTTTTATATTCTGGACATTTCGCAAACGACCTGACTCTTCGTATATAAAACACTCTCACTGCACAACCCTGCCCCCTAATTCTCTAATTATGCCATTCTGGACTTTTAGTATATTGAGTATAAATTCCAGAATCTTTCCCAGCTCGTGTCATCTGGCTCCCACTTGCCCATCTTCATTTATGTTTCATCTTCCTCTTAGCTTATCACATTACTGCCATGCAACCTTCTTGTTGCTGCTCAGTGTAGAAACTCGTTTCCTCCCAAGGGCTTCGTACTTTCCATGCCTTTCCTTGGAATGTTCTTTTCCCTTCAGGTAATTGTCTAACGTGTACTCGCTCATTCTTTACATTGTAGTTGAGGTGAATTTTCTGCAGGAAGTCCATTTTGCCCTGTCATCTTTTATTCTGCTTCATTTATGACCATCTGTGATTAGATTATCTGTTCTTTGATGCTTTCATGGGCATAATACTCAGATACAGAACAGTGTCTGACACACAGTAGACATTTGATGAATATGTTTTGTGTGATGAATGTGGATTGATTGAATTATCCAAGGTTCAGCCATGTAGGCTTTTTTGTGTTCCATTGTTCTTAGTTATAAAATAGTGTTACAGCTCATATGCTACTGCGGGGTTAGATACTCAGCTAAGATCCAGCTCGTCCTTTCCGAGCAAGAAAGGCTAGAAACATATTTGTGGTAGAATAATCCTGTACTCCTAAAGCAGCAGGTAAGGCCAGGGGCTCTTGAGTGATCTACCTTTTTTCCTCCCTTTGCAGAGACGCACCCTGCTTGGCAGGGGAGGAAGAGTGGGTCACTGCCCAAGTTCCCCAGACCATTGTAGATCTCTTCCAAAATGGAAACTGGACCATGGAGAATCCCTCACCCGCCTGCCAGTGTAGCAGTGACAAAATCAAGAAGATGCTGCCTGTGTGTCCTCCCGGGGCAGGGGGGCTGCCTCCTCCACAAGTGAGTCATGCTCAGTGTGTGACTGAGCAGATGGGGTGAAAGTTGGGCTGTAATTCTCTCTTAAGAATAAGACATCATGTCGGGATTGCTGTACAAGTCTTGACCTACTCTTCATCATAGAGAAAATCACGTGAAGCATGAGTAGAAGGGATATGGTCAAACTTGTGCCAATGCCTATCTAACTGGTGGTGCCATGGGCAGATTGTGACATGCCCAGATTTCATCCCCAGTTCTGCCAAAACTGAGTTAGTGGCCTTTGGTAGGCTATTCTAATTTCATGAATCTATCTCCTTATATCCAACATAAGGAAGCTGTCTTGTCAACTCTGACATTCTCTGAAACTCTTGAGTTGAGGAAGGAGCTGGGAGTCCCTCTGGTCTTCCCCACCAAGAATGACTTCTGGAATAGCCTCATTGAAAGGCAGCTATGCTCACCACTATACCACCAAGGCCTCCTAGGAGTAGCCTTATTGGTAATCCTTGGCTGCTTTATCAGCATCCAGGTTACAGGATGAGGACAATAGTTGGTGGAGAGGGAAATGGATGTTGTGGTGTGGTGGGGCAACATAGTTCTTGTAATACCAACACCCCATTTGGACTGCTGGTTCCAGTCCCAGCAACTGCACTTCTGATCCAGCTTCCTAATGCACTGAAGAAAACAACAAGAGACAACTCAAGTGCTTGGATCCCAGCCATTCATGTGGGAGACCAGGTAGATTTCTTGGCTTTGGCCTGGTCCAGACCTTGCTGTTAAGGTCATTTGGAGAGTGAACCAGAGGATGGAGGATCTCTGTCTTTCCTCTCTCTCTGCCTTCAAATAAATAAACAATAAGTATTGTGAGGATTTAAAGACATCTGGATTACCTGTCTTTACTATCTAATGTAGTAATCAGTGTAGTTTAGTGAACAAAAGAATTCACTAGACATAATTGATACTGCTACTCCTTAATTGTCCTCATATGGCTCGTGCCCTAGTTCATGTGAAAATTCATGCACTTGGTTGTATTATGGTTACAGAGAAAACAGAACACTGCAGACATCCTTCAGAACCTTACAGGAAGGAACATCTCGGATTACCTGGTGAAGACGTATGTGCAGATCATAGCCAAAAGGTGACTATTTACTCAGCATGGCTCTGCTTTATTTAAGGCCTAATTAAGTAGACTAGAGTGGTGGGAGATGCCTTCATGATGGTCTGATGGTTTCTCTTGGATGTTGAGGATATTGTCCCGAACTAGGAATGATAAGAGATTTAAAGGTTGAAGCAGCCTAGGCATAGAACATAAATCTGGATTGAAATTGAGTTCAACTTCTTACTAACTGTTAGAGCAGGGGCAGCCAGCTATCCTAGTGATATGGATGGAGTTCTCATAGGTTTGTTGTTAGGAATAGATGGTATGGTACTAGTATTATGTCTTGAGTGATCTCTCTCATGGATAATGTGATGTTGTGAAGAGAGCCCTAGAAGACTTGAGAAACTCTTGGCTGTAGAGTCTTAAAGAGTGTTGTAACTTCCTAAGGGTGTGGCTACACAGTGTCCGGTTCTTACCTGATGTTCAGGAAGCATTTGTTTTGGTTTGTTTACCATCAGTTTGGTCAGCTGTAGTCTCTGTTCAAGTTCTTGGTACCTTTAAATGTTGGTGAGACTCTGGATTGATAATGACCATGAGTTTCTAAAAGTAAAAATAACCTTTCCACGTGTCACTTACAATTGCAGTATTCTTTTGAATTGAAAAAGCATCTAGTTCCATCATTTTTTTGTCTATAAGGTATGATTCTTAGCTAAATAACAATTATAAGATAGAAGAAAAGATATGATTAGGATGAGCTGCTTGCCATTGGCAAAATGTCACAGGGCCAGTCCAATCACAGGACTATTTTTGTGCATTTCTTGTGTCTACAGGTAGCTATTTGTTCCTTTTGCATCATTAGAAATGGATCAGTATTTTCTTTGAAGTGATTTTTTTTTGTTTTCTTTCTCTTTGTTTTCTGCAGTTTGAAAAACAAGATCTGGGTGAATGAGTTTAGGTAAGTTGATCATTCTGTACTTGCAGCTTTCCCTGGACTTCAAGCTCAGAAGGATGACCAATTCAGGCATCTTGAATCAAAAGAAGGTGTTAGTTGGGGAATGGCCTTCACACTTGCGTTCCCTGTGAAAGGGGATATGGTCCCTGCAGAATGTATGAAGCACACAGGGACACAGACAAACATAGGTTAGAGTTACGTGGAGATTTTGCTTAGAGCATCCCTGGTTGGTGCTGTGAGTCTGTGAAACACTTAGCACACCGATTTCCTTGAGAAGATTCAGAAATCACCTGTGTGTCTTTAGGGATTGAAGATAAGTGCAGTGTTCTGAGAGGAACACCCATCCTCATTACACTTCACCTCAGAGTCCCTTGGTTTCCTGGAGACTCAAGAACCAGTTTTTCAGGCCTTTGGCATGAGATTCATGGTATGTAGAAGGTCTTGGAGGAAATAAAAGGCATCAACCTCATTTATTTTCAGTGTCTATTTCATCCCCTTCGTCCCTCTGGGATTTATAAGTGGAACTGACAGTGATGGCTGATGTGGCTGTCTCAGAGGATTCAAAGGCTCTCTCATATTAAGGCCCACTTCTCCGTGAGGGCCAAAACCCCGGAACTCTGGAGAGCAGCACAGGCATTGGTCCTTAGAATGGCCCCCTCAGGCTAGGAAAGGGGCATGCTCTATCTTGTAGACCTCACTGGTCACTCAGGATGGTGTCTTCCACCACTCATCCCCACTGCCCATCTATATACCTCTAGACCAAATTCATGCCCAGCATACCAGGGTGGGAGAAGTACCAGTGAGTTAATGACCTTTTCTCAGTGGGTCAAATGTCTCCCTATGTGTTATCAGGCTGGTCTTCCCCTCCAGGCCAGGAACCAGGAGACAAAAGACCATCCAGATCCCTTTAGGGAAGCTGACACATAGCTTCTCTGAGTCTGACTTAGCCCTGTGTAGGATAGGAAATTTGCCTTGATGGAGTTTGTGCACATTCACATGGTGTCTCCTGCTGGGTGATGCTGTGGGGGCACACTGTCCAAGTCTTGATGACAGACTATTCTTCCAGGTATGGTGGCTTTTCTCTGGGTGTCAGCAACTCCCAGGCACTCCCTCCAAGCCGAGAAGTTAATGAAGCCATTAAACAAGTGAAGAAACATTTGAGGCTGGCCAAGGTACAGTGCCCATTTTAAGCCTTGTCAGAAACAGGAGTTTGGAATAGCTGGATTGGGGGAGTGATTGGCAAGTAGTTGATCAGGTAGTCACTGCTTGTTTTCAATGCATGAGCCGTCATGAGCATTTTTGAACCAGACAAGGCTGAACTATAAACTAGGCTTCAAATACATTTTTCTTTAAAATGTGGCTGACTCAACAGAAAATGATTCATTTTCACTTTTCAGCTGGTAGGCAGGCCTTCAGGACCTGGTGAGCACTCATTTTGTTCCTCTGGATCTCAAGGTTCCCCTTTGTCAGTGAGGATGGAGGTGGCAGTGATGGTCCTGTGACCCGGGTTCTGCTTTTGAGGCCCACTCCTAGATACAGTGTTTGTGCTCTTGGCATGATGCCAGGGGAGAATTGGGAAGAATCTCTATCACCCAGTTAGAGCCAGACATTAAAATCTTGGGGGATTTGAAGCTGTGAGATTCCTGTGTGAGTCTTTTAAGACTTTGAACACCGTGGTCACACTGTTGCTGTAGATTTATGATCTCTTGGTTTTCGGGAGCTGTTGATTCATTGGAAGCAATTCAGTTTCAGTGAGCAAAGTAGCAGTCACATTGCTTTTCCCAGGGTTGTCCTGTTGTCCCCAGATTCCAGACCTACAGTTTGTAAGGCCCCTTCTCTGTGTGAACAGTCACAGCTGAGGGGGTTTCTGTTGATTATAGGACAGCTCTGCAGATCGATTTCTCAACAGCTTGGGGAGGTTCATGACTGGACTGGACACCAAAAATAATGTCAAGGTAAGAGTTTCTTGGTAAAAAGTGATCTTCATAGTCTTTGAAATCCTTTCAGCTCCAGTAATGTTAATGGGAAGATTCAGAACAGAAAAGAGAAACTTGTTAACTTTACCTGCAAGAGAGTTTAGCATAGCGAATAGCAGAATTTTCTGTACCACCCATGTATCAGGTTTATGGTAGCCCATTGTGACCTTGACTGAATTATGTAATCTGTCTAAGTCTCAGTTTTGTCATCTATAAAAGAGAGTAATCATGGTTATAAGAGAGAGTAATCATGGTTATCTCTCTAAACGTTTGTAAGGATTAAATGAATTCAAGATATAAGGTCCTCAGCATAGTGCCTGCCCAAGCAGGCAGTGGTTAGTGTATTGTCTGTGTAGTTATTACTTTTTTTTTAAATGATTTTATAGCTTTTAATTCTGCTAAACCACCAATACATAAGAGGTGCACAGTGCTATAAGTGCTGTAAGATAAGGTGCACAGTGCTATAAGATGATTATCTGGCTAGAGAGATACAATTGTATCTATGAAACTAAATACAGAAGTGTTAGATAACATCCGAAATTGGATTGTCCTTTGAAGGGTCAGATAGGAACCTAGAGTGAGCTCACTCCTCCTTTCACACCGTGCCTGTGTTTCTCTGTCTTTAATGATGACCCAATTTGCTAACATTGTGAAAGCATATAGAGGTAACACTTCTTTTGGTTCTATGCCAACAGCCTTCCTAGAATCCATGCTCCATTTACTTGGTCTCAGGAGATTAAGCTTTTCCAAACCTCTCTTGTATTTCAGGCATGTGATATTGATATCAGGGCTTAAAGGGAATTGGGCCTCAACTTTTCTGTGGTTTAGGTGCATATTTGTGTGTGGGCTTTTATGACTAAGATCAGGGTTTGGAGATTTTACCTTGTATCCAATATGTTTTATTTCAGGTGTGGTTTAATAACAAAGGCTGGCATGCCATTAGCTCTTTCCTGAATGTCATCAACAATGCCATTCTCCGGGCCAACCTGCAGAAGGGAGAGAATCCTACCCGTTATGGAATTACTGCTTTCAATCACCCCCTAAATCTTACCAAGCAGCAGCTCTCAGAAGTGGCTCTGTAAGTACAGCTCTACCTGAATGGACTCAGTGAGGAGAGAAGGGTGTTGGATTGATCATGAAGTGGGGCAAGGAATGGAAAGCTGGCTGAAGTGTAGCACTTTGGGAGACGGTGATGACACATCACGGTGGATTCAGACTCTGGCCAGAAAATGATCAGTTCATGGATTGGCTGTTTGGGCTCCTTAACAGAAAATGACACAGATATATGAAGATTATTACTATTGCTGATTTCCTATAAACCAGGTTAAAATGATCAATAAAACCTGAAAACAGTTGAACTCACCATTAACATCAGCTTTAATAACTATTTATGAATGATTTTTTAAAAGAAACCACAGTTTTAAATTCCCAACATGCTTTCATTACCATGTGTGTTTAATTTCTGAATTAAGTGTGTGCATGTGACTATGAATATGTGTGTATAGTCTTTGGATTTTGTTCAGCGGATTAGCTCAACCAATGGTATGATTACATGGCTTTAATCCATCAACTCTATGAAACACAGGTAGGGCTTACAAATATCTCCTTATGCCCATGACAGTGTCCACTTAGAAAGACAAAGAAGGGGTCATTATATCACCAAGACTTCTTTTGGCTGTTGATATCTCTACCTTGTAAAAAACAATCTTATTTTTTAAAAGATTTATTTATTTTGCTTGAAAGTTGGAATTACAGAGAGAGGGGGAAAGAGCGATAACCTCCATCTGTTGGAGATGTCCAGAGCTTGACTGGTTTGGGGTCTTGGAGCCAGCAGCTTCTTTCAGGTCTCTACCTGCCTTGTGGCATGCCCTGCTGTCTTCCAGGCCTTTAGCAGGGAAGTGTATGAAAAACTGAGCAGCCTGCACTGGAACTGATCTCTGTGCAGGCAGAGGATTAGTTTACTACCCCACTGTGCCAGCCCCAGAGAGAACCATCTTAAATCTCATTCTTATAGTTCAACAAGTATCATAAGACACATTAGAGGTACTGCTCAACAAAATTTAGTTAATTCACTGGGTTATGTAACTAGCATTGTATGCAAGGTAAAGCCATTGTCTGCAACACTGGCATCCTGTACTGGCATTGGCTCAGGTCTTGGCTGCTCCAGTTTTGGTCCAGCTCTCTGCTGGTGTCCTGGGAGAATCAGCAGATGATGGCCCAAGTGTTCATGCTCCAGCTAGTCATGTGGGATTCCAGATGAACATCCTGGCTCCTGACTTTGGCCTGACCCAACCCTGCCACTGTGACCATGAACCGTAGATGGAAGATTCTGTCTTTCTCTCTCTCCTTGAATTTCAAATCAATAAATATATATTCTACAAATACATTGGGTTCTGTTAACTTGCAAAGTCATTGGTCATTAAACACCCTTGTTATTCAACAAGCAGAACATGTACATTATTAAATGAGGCATATTACTTTTGAATTAATATGTCTTACCAGAGATGTAGGACATCTAGATTCTAAAAAGACAATGACATTCTCATAATGTCATTCTCTTAGAAGTCCCTTGCCCTCTTTAGGACTCTTTAGAATATGGACTTTTCCTCTTATAGGCTCTCTTTGCATTTTTATGACATTGCTTATATTTAAGCTCTGTATACTCAATCTCCCTGTAAAACTTGTTTTCCTGTCTAGAAGCTGTCAAAGCCCAGGTGGTCCTATCCATTAGAACCATGAGTGCAGGCCTTTCACTGGGGGTCCCTGAAGAGTCCACTGGGGGAGCCTGTCTTATTGCCATCTTCAGCTTGAACCAGCAGGAGCAGTCATTACTGTCTCTCGTTAATGGCAGTTAGGGTTACGGCTTTAAAGGGTGGATACCTACAGAGATAGACTCCTGGCTAGGTAGACAGGGGCCAAAGAGCCCTTCTCTGCCAACTGGTGATGAATCTCCAAGGACCCAGGAGAGATCAGACAATGGGTTTTTGTGAATGGGGTAGACTCAAACAGCTTAATCTGCTGTGATTCTCTCATTTTCTTTGCTCCTCTTTCTTGGTGAAAACCAGGCAAAGAACCATGTGGAGAAAAAGAGAATCACAGACTTCCTCAACAATAAGAAAACATTTTTTTAGAAATGTATAGCTTTTGAAGTTAGATTGTGGCCTCCAGATTTCTAGATAAATGCTTATGAATGCAACAGTTCTTGCAAATTACCAAGCCCGCACCCCATAGAGTTTCATTCCGAAAGATTCCTTTTCTTTGTATCCTGCGTGGCAATTTGTGTTTTTATTTAACTTCAATAGAGTATTAGCATAGCACTCTAAGGTTTTCTTGTAAAAAGAATCTTGTAGAGTTTTTCTGTGTTAGATTGATATATTTTGGTTTTCAATTTATTTATAGCCAGAGAGTTTTAGCTTGATAACAGTAGCTTTATAGTAATACTTGTTCCTTCTTTAGTTTTCAAACCACACCAGTCGTATCTGTGCTTACGTGTGTGTGTGTGTGTGTGTGTGTGTGTGTGTGTGTGTGTGAGAGAGAGAGAGAGAGAGAGAAAGAGAGAGAGAGAGAGAATTTCCTAACTTGCTGCATCCATAAGGCCAGGATCACTGGATCTATTTGAACACATTAGACAGTTTCAGACTTCCTTCAGTGGTTTCATTATGGCAGTGGACCCTCTTTCTGACCTCAGTGTAAATCACTTTTGTATTTGAATTGTCTTTTGTTTAATTTGAAAAAGATTCTACTTAACACTGAACAAAATGTATTAAATGGACAGGTGCTTTTGTCTGGGCTGTGCCTTGGCTGTAGATTTATCATGAGCTTTGTTTTTTTTTTTCAGGATGACCACATCAGTGGATGTCCTCGTGTCCATCTGTGTCATCTTTGCAATGTCCTTCGTCCCGGCCAGCTTTGTTGTGTTCCTCATCCAGGAGCGGGTTAGCAAAGCAAAACACCTGCAGTTCATCAGTGGAGTGAAGCCTGTCATCTACTGGCTGTCCAATTTTGTCTGGGATATGGTAAGGACACAAGCCTGTGGCCTCTTTATGAATCCCCATCAAGGCAATGACACATATGGATAAGGAAGGCTGTCACCAGGAAGTGTACCAGCTGGTCTAAAGCTTTATTATTTTAATGTATATTTGTTTTAATGTGCTTGAAAGAGCAACACACACACACACACACAGCAAGAGTGAGAGTGAGAGAATGAGAGATGTCTCCTATCCACCAGTTCACAAAGTCAGAAGCCCAGAACTGCATCCTAGTCTTCATGTGAGTGGCAGGAGCCCAAACATTGACCGTTTTCTGCTGCCTCCGAGGACACATTAGCAGTAAGCTGGATTGGAGGTAGAGTAGTTGGAACTGGGATCCCAACTGGCAGTGTGATGGGAGCTGGAGGCATCCTGAGCATAGGATTAACCCGCTGAGGCACAGTGCTCTCACTAAACATTTTATGTACAAGGAAAAGGTACAGGCAGAGTACACCTCTGGGACACTAAGCACAGCACTGCTTACAGAGCTGATTTCACATTAGAGGAAACATCTGTCCGCACTGACAGATGATACCACTGTCACATCATGTCCCATGTGAGAACTTCCCCCAGAAATGTAGAAATGCGAGGACCCTATCACAACCCCATGTTCGTGCTGCTAATGCAGCTGAAGTGTTTTAACCTCCAGAGTCAGGGTTTTAATTTTCTTATGAGGAAAGCAATCTGTCATGTGAAACTATATGCTTTTACCAGCAGCTTACCTAGCCATTGCAAATATGCTTTTTGTGCTAACTGTAATACATTGCTGCTGTTTGAATCAATATGGAGGATGTCAAAGCAATCCAAAGTTCTAATTTTTATAAAGCGGAATTATTTGATATATATCTTCGTGATTTCCATTAATCCTAAACCACATAGAACAAATCTAATTCTTCTCCCACTGGACAGCCGTTCCAATATGTAAACATAACTCACAGTTCTAAATTTTCTCTGGATGAGGTGAAATATGGAAACGCACTTTGTAATCTCTAAAGCTCTGTGCAAATGTAATGGTGGAGCTGACCACAATGTCTGTGCTGAGTATCCCAAGCCAAGCCAACTTGCTACTGTTCTTATCTGATTGCCCTTTTATGATTAGTCTCCATATTGTAAATGTCCCTTTTGAAAAGCAAAGATCATAATTAACCTTGTGTTCAGGCTGTGGTCTGAATGGGTATGCATCTAGAGGGAGTTGATCTTTATCCTGTATGCCCACTACTACAATCTAAGGGTACTGCATTTTGAAAATGACATTGTCTTATTAGCAACTTGGTAGTGAACTGAAGCCTCCTTTTTACATGAATTCTTGTTACATTGGATTCCTTTAATTCTACACTAATGCAATAGGATTGTTTTGAACCAAAATTTTACATCATTCCTGGCAGGCCTCATGTTATTCAGTGTCCATCTGCTTTGCTGTGTTTTACCTAAACCAAGTATTTATCCTCTCTATTAAACATATACGCAGCGTTCTCTATGTGCCTGACCATATTAGCTGTAAGGGTAAGGGGTTCATATGAAAGATCAAGATCTTAACCTCAGGACCTCACGTAAATTTTTGTGTATCATCTGTCCTTCTTGGATTTAGAGCCTCTGAAATTTTCTAAGTGTGCATCTTTATGTAAGTTGTTGATAAACATGTTGAGTAGGATGGAGCTGGTTCATGGGTGAGTAGGGTGGTAAACATGTTGAGTAGGGAGGTGCCGCCTGAGGCTGCAATTCTTTTATCAGCTGACAAACCTCCTGTCACCTCCTTGTTTGTGATTTGCTTTGTCAGCTATGAATTCTCATAATTATCCTTTGGTCAAGTCTATTTCTGTATTTTAATGTTTGATGCAATATCAGGGCAGACTTTAAAATTATTCTCAGTGTGATGAAACAATTCTGACATTCATGTTATGAGTGTTTACCTCATAAATGGATTACATGTGAGATTGAACTTGGGCAGACTGTAATATAGCATTAATGATGAAACAGACACAATTATCTTCAGGAAGACTAATGGAAGCTTATTTGCTGCTTGTGAAATTGAAATTACTCTGGGAATCCATCGTTCAGTAGGTTTACTGAGCGTGACACCTTGGCTTAGTGGTGAAAAAGACAGAAAGGGCACGCAGTTTATAAAATCAGCCAAGGGTGAAATGCTTGTCAAAATGTGTTGTCCAGTACCTTGATTAATAGTTTAAGTGGCTTCATTAATTCAAAGTTATTCTCCAATGTGTTCATCTGCCCTTTCTCATCTGATGTTGGTGACTTGGGATGTGTTGAGTATGTTTGACTCAACGTAAGCCATATTTTCTTATTTTCACTTTCAGTGCAATTATGTGGTCCCTGCGACATTGGTCGTCATCATCTTCATCTGCTTCCAGCAGAAGTCCTATGTGTCCTCCACCAACCTGCCCGTTCTAGCCCTTCTACTGTTGCTCTATGGGTAAGATACCTCTGCGTGGGGGAATCTCAAAGTGGACAAAGCATTCAGTGCCCAATGACAGGGGAGGTTAGGGACTACCGGTGACATATGTCTCTGTGCCTCACCAGGTGGTCAATCACACCTCTCATGTACCCGGCTTCCTTCGTGTTTAAGATCCCCAGCACAGCCTACGTGGTACTCACCAGTGTGAACCTTTTCATTGGCATCAACGGCAGTGTGGCCACTTTTGTTCTGGAGCTCTTCACCAACAATGTGAGTTCTGCAGAAGGGGCACTCCTGCTGGGATACGAGGGTCTCTGAGAGTCAGAGCAGAGCGTTTTATGCTGATCCTATCCCAGTTGTCAGTGGCACGGACACCACTGACCACTCTGTCCTTTTTCCACACGGTACATTGCACAGATATCCTTTAGCTGAATTATCCCTTACACTCACCATTCCCTTGAAATAACCAGTTTCCATGGTCTAATTGTATTTTCCCTATCCATGATTCAGCTTCAATATGAAGCTTTCCTGGTCTGCACTATGGGCATTTCTTCCCTCTGCTTTCGGAACCTTCAGTTCCTACCTCTGTTATAAGCCAGGTCTAGTGATGTGGTAATTTCTTGTTTTCGTGTTTTTCTCCTTCACAGTAGAGACTGTTACTTAGTGAAATTTGCCTTTCCTCTGCTTTATATAGTGCATCCAGAACATAGCCTTTTGTTCAGTTGCTGGATCTTTAGCCACTGTTACGTTGTGGGTTCCTAATATGTTTTGAGTAGTTGAAAAGAATTTTAAAAAATCCAACATATATTCAAATATTGATTCAGACACAAGCAATTGACCTTTAAAATATTAGCAAATATTTTGTTTATGGATTTGATTCTGATGAAATCTAAGCATATTCTGAAACCTCATTATTTTCTATACTTATAGCATCAGTTCCAAATTTTCTAAAGAACAGAATTCCATTATGTTATATATAATTATCTATGTAGCTGGATTTATTGGTATCTGAATTCAAAGGTCTAGGTTAGTCCATGGGAATCAGATTTCGGTATGCCCCAACCAAACCCCATCGCTGCTATCTTTCAGACTTTGATAAGGTTTTAGTATAAACCATGAGTGACATCTTGTTTCTCTTCTCTCTCATTTTTTCAGAAGCTGAATAACATCAATGATATCCTGAAGTCTGTGTTTTTGATATTCCCACATTTTTGCCTGGGACGAGGGCTCATTGACATGGTGAAAAACCAGGCCATGGCTGATGCCCTGGAAAGGTTTGGTGAGTGAAGCAGTGCTACGAGATGGTACAACAGAGATGGAAGTTTCTGTTGGCTCTAGTGTTTTGGCATTTGTTTGGGAAAGAGGCTGGCAAATAGACATAAGCTATTCCTCAACACCCTCCCCTACCTCTTGTCCTGTTCACCACCCTCTCCCTTCTGCTCCCTGTTCCTCACACACTGAGCTTGTGCCGACACAACTGATTGTGTCATGTCTCTGTTCCTCTGATAGCCCTGGGATAAGCGGAAGGGCAATTTTGGAGATGTGGAAAACACTGGGATTCTCTTGGTCCCTCTGCCTAGTGCCAAGGGCTGGGTTTGTTGGGATCACTGGAAAAGTTAATCCATCGCTTTGATAGCCAAAGATAAGAAGGAAGATCTCTCCTTTGTGTCTTGCAGGGGAGAATCGCTTTGTGTCACCACTCTCCTGGGACTTGGTGGGACGCAACCTCTTCGCTATGGCTGTGGAAGGGGTGGTGTTTTTCCTCATTACCGTTCTCATCCAGTACAGATTCTTCATCAGACCCAGGTGAGTTTAGCGAGAGCTCGTGGAACACTTGGTGGAGGGTTACAAAGCAGTAGTGCGGAGAGACACTCAGCAGAGATGCCTGAGTGGAACTCAGTGTGTTATCAAACTGGTGTTCCTAACGTCAGCATCTCCCAAGGCCCAGCACGGCTGATTCTGAACATTGTGGCAAATAATTTTTATAGGACCATTATAGAGACTTGGATAGTGGTCTTAAAACATAGTTTGAAAGATTAATTATTTGTGATTTCCCCCCCACCCCATCCCACCCCAAGACCTGTAAATGCAAAGCTTCCTCCTCTAAATGATGAGGATGAAGATGTGAGGCGAGAAAGACAAAGAATTCTAGATGGTGGAGGACAAAATGACATCTTGGAAATCAAAGAGCTGACAAAGGTAAGATGGTGTGGCCTATTTTAAGAGTTTTCAGTCATTTCAGCTTTCTTTTTGGGAAATTAGCATTTTTACAGGACAAAAAAAAAATCATAAGGTGCATCTATATTTACACCAAGCTTTTGTCAACTTAATGTAAAGCATACCATGGAGATTTCTTAATTAAATAAATCATGCTGATAATACTTTTGTAGTGTTATTTCTTGTTCTTGAGTATGAATGTTCTGCATTTCCAATGGTTGACTATCAAAACACAATAATGTTGTATATCTAGTTAAAGCTAAGGTTGGCTGAATAAATTAAAGTTTCATTGTCAGAAAAGCTGGCACATTTACATTGCTCAGAAGGATGGCAACTTTTAGTCTCTAGATATCAAAATTATAGTATTTTACTTTTTATATGTATTGTACATACTTTAAAATGTGTGACATTTGCAGTCTTTATAAATTTCTACCCTCTAGAATTTAGTTTTCAAAATATGTACAAATCTGTATATTAAATATACAGTATTTAAAACATAACTTATTCTAGATTAAGCAATGAATGGAATGGTGTTTCAGAGTCAGTCAGAAGCCATTTGGATAGAGATCAGTCCAACACTCTTAGCATATCAAATATGTTTGTTAGTTTCTTTGAACGATCTGTGGTGTTTGGGTTATCATTCTGCTTCCACAGTTGCTGGGCAGAGCTCATGCAGTTTCACGTCTTGTTTATTGCAGATCTATAGAAGGAAGAGGAAGCCTGCTGTGGACAGGATTTGTGTTGGCATTCCTCCTGGCGAGGTACAGATGCTTCATTTGCATTGTGTAGATCCGAGATAAATCAGGTTCTGTCTACCCAATCAAGCATCCATGTCTGTAAGGGCTGCAAATGGCTTTTAAAAGTGGGAAGCTATCAGTCATGGAGAGGATGTAGACACCGATGTCAAAAAAGAGAATGATTTTGGATAATCTCAGGCAATATTTAAGCACACACATCAAAAATGTTCTTTGTGATCCATTTGAGTGAATGATGAACTCAAAATTTTTCTTTTCTGTTTCATTTCTGTTTGTGTTCCTATATCCTCTGTGGCCAATTTGACTAGATGGCCTTCATTACTGTCTTTCACATGTTAGCTTTGGCTTCAACTTGAAAACTCAAATAATATTTAGAAATATGCCCAAATTTAAAATGGCACTCTTATAAAATACATTCAACAATCTGTAAAGGTAATTTCTTAAATGTTCATGGAGAATGCATATTATGAGAAAACTAGGTAGGGATTTCAGAATTTTTCTACACAAAAAATACACTTATTTTTGAAATACAATTGTCTGTATTTCTCGAAGTACTCATTCTTATGATGCCTTAAAACCAAGAACTTATTTGACTGTTCATTGCTACTTAGAATTATGTTTTGAGGGCTAGCACTGTTGCGCAGCAGCAGTAAAACTGCTTTCTGTTTTGCCAACATCCCACATGGGCACTGGTTCCACTCCTGGCTGTGCCACTTCCACTCCAGCTCCCTGTCGATGTCCCAGAATATGTACTGGAGGATGTCCTAAGTGCTTGAGCGCCTGCCCCAAGGTGGGAGGTCTGTAGGGACACCTGACTTTGGACAAGCCCAGTTCTGGCCTTTGTGGATATTTGGGGAGAGAACAAGTGGATGGAATCTCTCTTTCTCTCTGATTTTGCCTTTCAAATAATTAAGTAACTACTAAAAAGAGATTAATGCTTTAGGATCTTGTCATAAAAACCAAGCTGAAGTGGCTATCTTAAGAGACATTCATATTATACTCCACACAATTTACCCTATATTTCTTTTCCAGTGCTTTGGGCTTCTGGGTGTAAATGGAGCTGGGAAATCTTCCACTTTCAAGATGCTAACTGGAGACACCACTGTCACCAGAGGAGATGCTTTCCTTAACAAAAATAGGTGAGAAAAGACGTGGCCTGGATTTTATCAAGTTTTAAAAAATCTTATTCAAACATAATTATTTTCTGATTATATAAGTACTATGTAAAGTTAATAAAGATGTTAAAATGATAGTAAAATATTAAGAACATAAAAATTGCTCATAATTTCCAGACCTCAAGATAGTTGCTGTTTACATTTTTTTCAGTCACACTTTATTTTTTAAATAGCTTTATTTGGGTTGAATGCACACACTGTGTAATTTACTTGTTTTAAGAGCACAGTAAATTTTAATAAATTCATAGAATTGTAAAACCATCACTACAACCTGGTTTTAGGACAGCCCAAATGTATCTTAATATACTCATATAAATGTATCATAAATTTAGATCTTGCTGTATATAGACTTCAAAATTAGTTTTTATTTTTAATGAGTATATTATGAATATTTCCTAATGGGTTACATATCCTAAGACACAGATTTTACGTTGCTACCTAAAATCCTGCTGCATAATACGGTTACAATTTATTTACCTAATTCTCTATTAATGGTAGATATTTATTGGTTTCCATATTTCATTATGGGAATATGTACTTGTAAAACTTTTTTATTATTTGCTCTGGGAAAATTCCTACACAGTAAAAGGTATACAGCTACCAAATTGCCCTCTGTAAAGAGTATACCAGTTGATGAAGCCACCAATTGGCCATTTTCTGCATAGGTCATTAAGCAGCTTGAGTTTGGAGACCCGTTAGGCGATGTTGCATTGCACTCAGGAATTTTGAAATAGGACTGGACTTGCAGATGGAGGTTTGGGAAAGCCAGGTGCAAGGACAGGGCAGAACAGAAGGAAGAACAGACTTTTAGGAAGAGTTGGTGACTTAGGGCAGAAAGACCATTCTTTCAAGCAGCAGTAGGTATACCGCCCCTTGCTACGCACAGTGTCCTCTATAGGAATGGGCCCGATCTCTGATCAGAGTATCTCTAAATACTTAAGACTTGACTAGTTTTGTTTCCTTTTGCAGTATCTTATCAAATATCCATGAAGTACATCAGAACATGGGCTACTGCCCTCAGTTTGATGCCATAACGGAGTTGCTGACTGGAAGAGAGCATGTGGAGTTCTTTGCCCTCTTGAGAGGAGTCCCAGAGAAAGAAGTTGGCAAGGTACTGTGGGCACCAGAAGGCCAGCCTGCCTCTCTGGCAATCTGACAGTATCGCATATGGCTTTTTTACACATAACATTGACTTCAGGATGCTTTTTCTTGTGGAGCTAGAAGCATAAAATGATGGATTTTTGTACCTGATTTCAGGGTGGTGGTGCAAGGGTTGGATGAGTGTGTGTGTTCTGCGGGGCAGGGATGGATGGATGCTCCCACCAATCCTTTCTCTGCTTTCGGCACCTCAGCAGCTTCCAGGTCATGATTATAGAACCTAGTCTTCCTCAGTCAAAGAACCATCAGATTTAAGTGTAAGAAGCATGGACAAATGACCAAACCAGACAAACAATAAGGTGATTTTGTTGTTGTTCTAGGTTGGAGAGTGGGCAATTCGGAAGCTGGGCCTTGTGAAATATGGAGAAAAATATGCCGGTAACTATAGCGGGGGCAACAAACGCAAGCTCTCAACAGCCATGGCTTTGATTGGTGGGCCTCCCGTGGTGTTCCTGGTGAGTGCAGCTGTGGATGGAAAATTCTTGTTCTGGCCTGAGTGGAAAACATTCTAATTTATTTTCTAAGGTCCTGTTTGTCTGAGGCTGTTGCATTCCTAGCTGACCAATGACATGTTCCCTACCAGGATTAGATCATTCTTGGAGGAGCAAAGGGAAACTTCTCCCTCAGCACACGTGGTAGTGGCCCTGCTGTGCTCTCAGAAGCCCCCAGACTCTCCACTACCTTAGGAGAACCCTAGCCAAGTTGTTGATGAGGCTGGAGGTGTGAGCTGATATTTCCTGGGTCATTCTTTCTGCCTATTTTTATGCACTGAAGATGGAGTGTGGACATGTGCTAAGGTGGCAAATGGGTGGTAATTCTTTACGCAGATGGGGATGGAAACACAGGCAGTGGCTCTTGACACTTTTTTTTCTGTAGAGAAAGGCATTGTCGTTGTAACAGTGGCTGAGGCTTTAATGTTATACAAGCCATGTGAGTCTGGAATTTGTTAGAGTAGCAAGTAAGATGTAAGTATGATGGAGTAAACTGGACTGAGCTAGAACAGAAAAAAAAATATTACCCAAACCCTATACTGACTGATAGATGTTTCAGATAGAAAGCATCTTTACATATACTTATTATAAGTCATGGAAAGATGACTGCAACTAGTGCTTTCCACCCTCCTAATACCTTGGAGAAATTTGCGTAATTTTATAAGAAATTACTCGGGATACTTGAGTTTCCTGTTTCATTTACAAAATTGGCCTTATTATAAATGAGTTTGAAAATTATTCTGGCATTTCTGTCCATTAAGAAGCAACTAGCTACAGAGTGCAGGCTATTTTAAGTTTGCTTCTGCATCTAAAAGGCAGAAGTATCTTTCATGTTTTCTCCAGCAAATAGTTCAGACTTACTTTCTTCTGATTACAGGATGAACCAACCACAGGCATGGATCCTAAAGCCCGGCGATTCCTGTGGAATTGTGCCCTAAGTGTTGTCAAGGAGGGACGATCAGTGGTGCTTACATCTCATAGGTTTGTAGTAAAGTCTTGGCATGTCTTCTGCAGTATGTCATTTTTAAAAAACATTTTTTATTTTTATTGGAAAGTCAGATTTACAGAGAGGAGAGACAGAGAAAGATCTTCCATCTGCTGGTTTACTGCCTAAGTGGTACAACAACCAGAGCTGATCTGATCCAAAGCCAGGAGTCAGGAGCTTATTCTGGGTCTCCCACGTGGGTGTGGGGTCCTAGGGCTTTAGGCGATTTTTGACTGATTTCCCAGACTGAAAGCAGGGAGTTGGATGGGAAATGGAGCAGCCGGGACATGACCTGGTGCACACCTAGGATCCCAGTCCATGCAAGGCGAGCACTTTAGCCACTAGGCTACCGTGCTAGGCCCTAGTGTGTGATTTTTTTAAAGTTTGTCCAGTTGCATATGCAGTGATTTTGTAAAATTATAAAATATAGCAAGAGAAAGATTAAAGCAATTATCACCTGAATTTGTATCATTTGGAGAGAATGACTGTTATCATTAGGGCTATGTTTATTTGCAATATTTTCCCATATATTCCCAATATTTTCTATATAATGTTCTATATAATGTTGTGTGTGTGATTTTTTTTTTACAACTAAAATGCAAGCACGGTGTATATAAACTATTTTTTACTTAGAGCATTATTCCAAATCTGTGAACTTAAATGTGTCATCATTTCCTGTAGTCAGATAGTGCTTATTAGGTTATACCTAAATAATTTATTTAATTAGTCCTCTTTTTTGGGTAGATATTTGGATTGTTTCCAGCTTGTTCAGTCATAAACAGCACCGCAGTGAACAGCGTCATCCCTGTGTCTTCATGTATTTGTGATGGGGTGTGATTATGCCCTAGGAAGCGGAGGATCTGTTTTTTGTTTTTTTAATACCATATGTCGTGGTGTTATTCTGACGAATATAGGAGCATGCAAACCCAAAACCTCACTCTGTTTTCTTGCAGTATGGAAGAATGTGAAGCTCTGTGCACTAGGATGGCGATTATGGTCAATGGGAGGTTCAGGTGTCTTGGCAGTGTCCAACATCTGAAAAATAGGTAACAAAGATAATTTTGGGGGGGATGGTGCCTTGGAAGGGTGAGGCTTCTGCGGCTTTAAAATAAAGGGAAACGAATGGGGGAAAACAGTATAGTAAGAAGATTGAGGTCCTTGAAGTCAGGTTGAGCTGCATCCAAACTTTTATTTTACCATGTATATCCTCTTTGCCTTTCAGATAACCTAACCTCTGTGAGAGTTTGCTACCTAGTGGTATTGGCCTCTTAGCTTTGTTATATAGATGAAGTTAAAAGTGTGTCTATGTCAGTTGGGAGCCCAAGCCTTTGAGTCAATCACAAATGGGTTTATTTCCTGACCATAGCACATGAGCTTTGTGCCATGGGATTCTGCCTGATGTCTGGGGCTTCAGTTCCTCTGTAACATCTGTCAGGCTGGATGGGTCCGTGTAAGCAGTAAACTAACTCACGTATACCAGTACTCCGTGTGGCATCTCACAGACAATATAACTGGTTCTGTTCCTAAGAAACCTTTTCCTGGGCCTATTAGGAATTTCCATTTTCCATGGCACAAGATGAATTCTCAGGGTTAAATAGTGTTTTGAGAAGTTTTCTGGAGAGTTTCCATTTGGTTGTTTTCTCCCTTGCCTTTTAGGTTTGGAGATGGTTATACGATAGTTGTACGGATAGCAGGATCCAACCCTGACCTGAAACCTGTCCAAGAGTTCTTTGGACTTGCCTTTCCTGGGAGTGTATTAAAAGAGAAGCACCGGAACATGTTACAGTACCAGCTTCCATCTTCATTATCTTCTCTAGCCAGGATATTCAGCATCCTCTCCCAGAGCAAAAAGCAACTCCACATAGAGGACTACTCTGTTTCTCAGACAACGCTTGACCAAGTAAGCCCAAGCCTCAAAATAGGTTTGATTTTCAGAATAACAATTCCTGTCCAACCACTCTCGCCATGGGTCTGAGAGCAGTTTAGACTTAACTGTGCTTGAATTACTAATCAATGATTACTAGCTGTGTTTCTTACTAAACCTCTCTGAACCTGATAAGAGATATGATGCTATTTGCTTTATCAGGTTATTTTTGAGAACGTTATTGTAATCATACCCATTGTAACTACCAGTACTGAGTATCTACCATGAGTATCTACCATGGGCCAAGAATTTTGCAAGGTGCTACATCCCATTTAAATCAGTTAACAAAGTGGCAAACATTGGTGTTATATGTTCCATAGATGTTTTTTTTCCCTCCACTTTTATTTAACCAGGACTGTTTAAAGCAGAATAAATAGATGACTGAGCAATTGGGAATATGGAAGGTCAATTTAAAAATGATGATTGCTTCTGTTCTTTCCTCCATCATACCTACTATTGTAGTTAATTTGCATTCTCCTACCCTACTCAATTTCAGCATAGGGAAGAACACAATGAGGATAATGAAAAAAAATTGAGAGGAATCTAAATGTCCACCTTTCTTGTAACAGGTATTTGTGAACTTTGCCAAGGACCAAAGTGATGATGACCACTTAAAGGACCTGTCATTACACAAAAACCAGACTGTAGTAGATGTTGCGGTTCTCACATCTTTTCTGCAGGATGAGAAAGTGAAAGAAAGTTATGTATGAAGAATCTTGATCATACACAGTGACTGAGATTAAGGAAGAACCAGATCTTCCTTTGCTCCATGTGAAGTGTTCCAGAAGAAAGAACTGCAAGATTTTGTGGGAAGAAGTAAACTGGATACTGTACTGATATTATTCAATGCAATGCAATTCAATGCAATGAAAACAAAATTCCATTACAGGGGCAGTGCCTTTGTAGCTTATGTTGTATGCCTCTCAAGTGAAAAAGACTTGAATACAGTTTATTACCTTTTACCTATGTGAAACTCTAGTATGAAACCCAATGGACAAATGGGTTTAAATCATACTCCTTTTGTTCCTGTGTATCTCACTAGGGTTGCAACAATAACTCATCAAGTAATCATGGCCAGTGATTATCAAAATCAAAAGGCATGCATATCCTCATTCATTAAGCCATGCCATGCCAGGAGACTGGTTTCCCGGTGACACATCCATTGCTGGCAATGAGTGTGCCAGAATTACTAGTGCCAAGTTGCTCAGAAACTCTGAAGCACCATGGTGTGTCCTGCACACTATTGTGAAAGCTGCTCTGCTCAGAGTCTAACATCATTAAATGTCAGGTGACAAAATGGTGCCATGTGTGACTCAAGTCCTGCTTGGTCTCCTCTTTGATGAGCTGCTCTGGTGTTGGTAACATGCAAAATATGGTTCTCTGGACATAGGAAACTTGGTTCCAGTATTAGGGTATTCTTCCCTTGGAGACATGGGTCTCCAGGGTCCTGTTTTCAATGTTCTTAGATTCCAGTTGACAAGAAATGGATCAGCAGCCAAACTACTGGGTCTACAAGTTGCTGAAATGAGGGCATGGGGATTAAAGTGAAGGGATGTTTAAACCTAAGGACGCTTGTGCCTGCTTACCCTGATTGTCTACTAACACGGTACACTGCATCACAAGATCTTGGTTTTTTGACACAAGGATAGTTATTATTTCTCGCTTTTTGAATTAATCTAGAAAATGAAAAGATGGTGTTGCATTTTGACAAAAGAAAACCAACTTTGTACTTTTAATGTTATTGGCAATTTCAAATTCTAACAGTGACTTGATAAACCTGCACATGGTCTCTGTAAAACCCACATGGCATGGTGGGATTATGACCACACTGCCTCACTGGTTTGTAGATTAGTCATCTGGCGAGTGCCCTAGTGAGTAAAAGGCAGTGTGGTGGTGAGGGTCGCATGGCATTCTGTCTGAATTTCTTTAAGATCAATTAGATTACTCTTCACATCAGTCACGTATTGAGCTGTTGCTCTAGCTGAATGCGTAGGGATGGATGGATGGTTAGGGTGGGGAGAAATGAAGACTCAGCAAGTTTCCTGGAATGTGGTGTTCAGCTGACTGGTTCACAAATATAGGTCGCTTTGTTGCGGTTGGGGGAACTCACTGAAAAATGATAGGTCAGTCTTCATTTTTTATTGTTTCTTAAATAACAATGCAAAGTCAAAGTGTAAGTCACAAGGCCAAACAACGAATTCTTTCAGAGAAAACAGGAACTTGAACAGCACAGCTTGTGTTTATGACATTCAGTGCTTTCAAATGGTTTGGCAGAGATGTTAAATACCCTATTAAAGCCTTACTAATCTCAAGTTTTGGATTTCCTCAGTCACTGACTGAAAAGAATAAAAACAGTATGTGTGTCCATAGACAGAACTTTTCAAACTTTGCCTATCCACTCTTTAATTTTTTAGTCATAAAATGCTCAAGAATATTTTCACTTTGTACTTACTGTCATCTGTATTGACAAAACAATGAGAGAGCTACTTTTGACAAAATTCAAGTGATCTTTCAGCAAAATCACACATTTCTTCAACTTCTTAAAAATTCATATATTTACTCTAGAGGTTTAAGATTTCAGATCTGGTTCACATCAATCTATTACATACTTTTAAATTTATATAATGTTACATGATAGAAAAAAACAACTAAGAAATTAATGTTACTGTTGTTTTCTAAAATGATAAGTAATGAAAAATTATTTCCAATAACTTTGGGTTGAGATCATATTATGGCATCTTCAAAGATACATAATTCCTAAAATAATTTAGTTTAATATTTTTCAAACCTCTATTTGTTCTCTTTTATTTCACTGTAATTACGTTCTGATTCTTCATTACGATAAATCCACGAGCAACTCCTCACTTCAATTATCCTGACTTGAAGGCCATGCTTCTTTTTCTTTTTTAAAGCAAAATATTTTTGAAAAAATAAAACACTTCAGTGCAATTTAAAGGGATCTTTTCTGAAGTTAGAAACAATCTGTCGTTACAAATCAACATCATTAATAGTGTTATTTTTTTAGACTATCCAAAAGGCAATCTTAAATCTTCCCGTGTAAGCCTAATTATGGGGGAGATTTTTAACTATACACATGATGTAGTGAAATGTCTATGTGTTACCTGTGGAAATGCAGCTGTGTGAGTTTCGAAGATTCTGACGTGTTCATATTTCTGTGCTTGCATCATTTGGACACCTTGGAAAACTTAACTGTGAAGATAAAAAAATACAAAAGAAAAACCAGTCCTCTGTAAATAAATAAATGCCCAGCACAATTCATTGTTAAAAACAACAAAACCTCAAACTACTGTATTTCAGTGTCTGTACTTCGTGACCATTACTTGTTGCACATCATTCTTTCACTGTAATCACTGACTAAAGGGATTTGTCTGTTTTCTTCCTGTGGTTGTATGTATCAGGTAAAATTCTTTCCAAAGAGCCATGTGTCATGTAATACTGAACCACTTTGATATTGAAATACTAATTTGTACTTTTGTTACTACTTACTAGTAATAGCGTATTATTGCAGTAATATTGCTCTAATTATTTTCAGAATCATTGCGTCCCTTTTTATACAATGCTTATTTCCATTAGGTTAGGTATGCTAATATCCTTTCTTATGCCCTAGGATGAATCTGTTCTTGTGCTTTTTCTGTTATTGGCCCTTCATTCCAAGCACTTTATGCTGTCTATAATGGGATCTATTTTTGCACTGGAATATCTGAGAACTGCAAAACTAGACAAAGTTTCACAATAGATTTCTAAGTTAAATCGTTTTCATTAAAAAGAAAAAAAAATTTGTATTGTCAATAACTTTATATAAAGTATTAAAATGCATATTTCTATGTTGTGAATGAGTCACAAAATAAAGCTGTGACAGTTGTGTTTGCAATTTACTTTTGTGCATTCATAGTGCCCCCTACTGTCACTGTGCTACAAAGCCATTACAAAAGAAGAAAGGTCTTGGTTGCAATTTGGGTGAAAAGTAAAGATTTTGGAAAAGATTCAAATGTCTTGAAAATCTTTACTAGTTAATTTTTTTTTTTTGTACTTTCACGATTGAGTTAAGATGTTGCATAACCTGTGTGAAGATGAAAAGATTTTGAAATAAACTTATTTTACTTAATGATTATGAAGTTGCAGAGATCTCTGAAAATAGGAGCTGTATTTATATTATAGAGACTTCACTTGGTTTTGAGAAGGTGACAGAGGCAATGTTCAGTGCTCTTTTGCTAATTTGAGCGAACCCTGGAAGGATACAGTGTGGCAGGGATACTGGGCTTTATTAAAGCAAACATTTCCACGCCCATACAGGTCTCTTTAATACAAATAAATGTCCCCAAAACTTTGTGGAACAATGATAAAAAGTAAAAAGGAGCAAAACCATAAATGAACACATTTGAGCATGTTAACTGATAAGTCTCTATATTTTTAAAGCATGACCTAATTATATTATTTTCCTGATTATACCATGTGAAAACCCCAATACAGATAGTATACACTCCCAAAGGAAAGAAATATACTTGATCTAATATTTTGTAGTCTCTTTTAATGTCACATATACATTTTACTGGAAAATAATTTTAAATCTTAGAAGAAACAGGATGAAAAATTAGACATTAGGTATGACTAGTTTAACAATATTGTCAAGCAGGGACATAGAAAATAATTGAATATCACAAGGACATAATGTAAAGCAAAACATTATCAAAATTCACAGTTACTCTGAAATGAATACAAGAAAACAAGATCACCAAGTAGGACAATCATTTTCAAGAAATAACAAATGCTGAAATGCCAAGGAGAAAATGAGCAGAACTAGTCCCTGGAGAGGTGGGGACAAAAGATCAGCCTACCACTTTGTTCAAATCAAAGAATCTCTTAGCAGACTTTAAGCACCATTAGTACATGCATCTCGCACTCAGTGAAGTAGTTTCTGTTTTAGAACACTACTTCAAAGGTGAAAACGACGTCGGAATTAGAAGCATGTTCTGCTGAGACACTAGGTAGTTGACGCTTTCCCGAACTAGAAAAAAATCACATAAAAATGGAAACAGGGTTAGTGAGGCGAATCAAAGTTATTCTAAAAAGAATTCATGCTGAGTGGGACAACTTACCAGCTGCCACAACTCTGGGGTCCTCATGGGACTGATGTCTCCCAGCAGCACGGCTGTCCATGCTCTCATTCCACCAAAGGACATGAACTCAAGAGATAAAGCACAAGTTGATGACAAATAATACGCACGAACACATGGAAAATATAGGAAAATGAATCAGAAATGCTCTCTGCTTCTCATCAACATGGTGACGTAGAAATAAAAAGTCAAACATGTTAGTTTTACACAGGTTCAGTTTCCCTAAATCATAATTTTGGGGACCAGAAGGGTTTCAGAATTTTTTTTTATTTTGGGATATTTCCATAGGTCCTATTAAATCATTTTTAATCTGGAGATCTGAAACGCAGCATTTTCAATTTCAGATTTATGAATTAGGGATGCTTAACTTGAATTTAGAATATGTTTTAGCTTTTGGAGAGATGCTTATGAATTAATGAGAACCAGAAGGTTAAAGGAGGGAAGTTGATTAATACATCTAATGGTAGAATTAAGACTAGAACTATTTCTTGTTACATATTTATTTTAAAATGTTATAAAATTTAGTGTTTGCTATAGAAAATTTACATAATAAAATTTAAAATACCATAATCTCCTATAAATAGAAGTATAGACAAATCTATTAATACAAGGTATATTTCTCTAAATGAGTAAGCCAAATTAAAGGTCTTAAATGTGTATTAAATTTAGTAATAGATTTTTTAAAATCAATAATATGAACATTTTGTAGATCAAATATATTGTCTTAATGGCAATATGAATTCCTACGTATGTGACAAGTTTTCAAAAATTAAAATATAAACTCCTACCTATAAGACAACTTTCTATTTGAAAGGCAGAGTTACAGAAAAATACGGAGAACCAGAGTGAGAGCAAGCCAGGGAGACGGCTCATGTGCTGCTTTACTCGTACAGTGGCTGTAACAGCCAACCCTGGGCCAGACTGAAGCCAGTAACCCGTGACTCCAGCCAGGTCTCGCCTCTTGGTGTCGGACCCACACATTTGGACCAGCTATTGCTGCTTTCCTAGGGGCATTCGCAAAAAAACTGGATCGTAAGTGGAATAGCTAGGACTCCCAACTGGAGCTCATGTGGTACTGGCACTGCAGGCCAAAGTGGCGTCAGTTGGTGCCAGTTCCAAATAGAACAACTTTTTAACCAAACCTCTAATTGTTAGTAGTTTTGAATATTGTAGTGTTTTACAAAAGACTGAAATACATATTATTTTATATATTTATCTAGAAGTTTTTTGGTAAGCAAATTTATGGAGGGTAGGTATTTGGCATAACAGTAATTTGCTGTTGGACATAGGCACTGCACACTGCAGTGTCTGAGCTCCAGTCTTGGCTCCCCTCCCGATTCAGGTTCTTGATAATGTGGATGCTAAGAGGTAGCAGGGAATGGCTCAAGCAGTTGGGTAACTGTCACCCATATGGGAGACGCGGAATGGATTCTTGGCTCTCAGCTTTGACCTGCACAGTTCCTGGCCATTGAGGACCTTTGGGAAGCAAGCCAGTGAATGAGATGTACCCGTCTGCCTCAATCTCTCCATTTCCTTACTTTTCCAGTAAATAAATAATAATTTTAAAATGTATTATAGTAGCTGTACAGATTTTTGGAAGATGTAGATAAAAGTAACAGTAAAAGAGCAGTTTTAGTCCTATCATCCCTGAACATTTTAGCGCATCCTTTCCATATTTTTATACAATAACATATTTATGTAAGTTTATAATGCATAAGTGTATATATTGTATAAATTGGCACTATCATGCTGTTTCCATTATTTCCTCTTGTAATCAAAGCTGACATAAACTTAATTAAAGTAGCTATATGCCTATAATAATAACAATCTTAACAATTACTACTAATATTTATTGTAGTGTTTACTGTTTGCTAGGCCAGGTTTTCCAATCTTTTATGTATTAGCTCATTTAATAATCTAGGCAAGAGGTTATTATTAGCATCATTTTATGGGTGAGGAAACTATGGCACAGTGAGATAAGTAATTTAACCAGTGGCACAAAATTATGAACCGAGTTGGGATTCAATCCAGTCAATTTAGATCAGACCTAGTCATACAATGAACAATGTAAGTCAATATTTAATATTAACTCCTAGAATTTAAGTTGACAGAACCAAAGAGTGTCTATTATACACACTGATATGCCTACACAGATACAGCATACTTTATACTCTGTCCTCTAGAAACAATGTATCAGTGTATACCCAACACACAGCCATTCTTCTACTATGCTGAGGATGAATTCAGATTAAGCAAGTCTTATACAAAAGTTTTCAGTAATTTTTCTTCTAAAAGTTACATATGTTCAAGTATACATTTTTAGAAGGATAAAAATAATTTTAAAAATATTTTAATTTTATAATTCAAAAATGACTACTATATGGTTTAAATCCTTTCAAATTTTTTTGTGTATATCTAAACATACCTACAAAACACATTCGTGTATACGTCCCAGAAGAAATGCTGGCCAAGATAATTTTTAAAATGAAGTCTTTTTATTTCCTTTGCCACAATTTTAAAATGAAAAATTGTGCCAATATGAACTTCATTGAGTAACTGGGTATTTGTATTTTTAATTTTTCCCTTATCTAAAGGTCTATCTATGTAAATATGCCTTTGATGGTTGGAAAATGGTATATTCTTATTGTTTTAATCTGTATCTCAAATTTATTTAAAATTTGTATTTGTGTAATTTTATACAAAAGACAGTCATCGACTGGATGGTTCAGCCCTCCAAAGCCTGGGGGAAGCAAAATCAATCCAGTTGTCCCATGTTATAGCCATCAATGTATCTATTTCTTCATGATTTTTGTTCATTTTTCTTTTTGCTTTTGAATCTCATTTATAGTGATTGGAGCATAAGAAAGTTTAAGCTTTTGTATTATTATAAAAAATCACTTGATGTCTACTCCTCATCCTTCCTCCTTTCCATTTCTTTCTCTTTCCTCTATTTTTTTTTTTGTTGTTGATGGTGGTGGTGGTGGCGGTGGTTGTTTGTTCATTTGTTTTGTTAATACAGCTTCAAGACTCACTCTAGTGGCCCTCCTACTTGGTCATGGAATAGTGGGAGAGGGAGACATGGGAGGAGCACCTGGGCAGCCAACTGCCAAGGATTCCCTTGGCAGCCGAGTTGCACATTAGTGGATTCCAATTTCCATTACCACTGCTGTTTATATAACCCAACACCTCTTCTGGGGTCTGATAGTGTTGGCACTGAGTACCTTTGCCTGGTGGCTTCATTCATCCCCACAACACAAGTTCTGCTTACCAAAAGTGGCCCACTAGGTATGCACATTACAAGTCCTGCTTCATGCCAGAGAGCTGGGCTTCTAACATAAAGTTTGAGAACAGACTGAAATTATTTTGGCCTCAAGACTTTTAACTATTTGCTTCACTAGATAAAACTGTGGATTGGGAGTACACTAGCTATCTGGAATCAGCCGCTGCATGGTTCTATTAGTCTTTTACCACTGTTCCCAAAATAGTCATCTGGCTAATCTGCACAGCAGGATCTGTGTGGACTTTCATCAGTTACTTTGCCATCACCCTGCAGTGGCATAAGTCACTGCTTTTCAGGTCCTAACAAGTGCTCTTGTGTTCTAGGTCCCTGGTGGGCTACAGTTTTCCTTCTAGTTTGGGCTTAGAAGTACAGCCTTTATCCATAAACTCATCAAAAATTTCCTAATTCTATAATTTTTATATTAACCATAATCCATGTACATCTTATTTTAGTATATGATATGAGATACACAGTAATTTTCATAATTTCCTCTTTATATTTTGTAATTTGAAAATAATATTTCAAAAAAATTCAAAATTTTAGAAATGTAATTTCTGGGTAAAGATCAGGACCTCATGTTTTAAAATATCAGATATCCATTAAACATTCAAGTTGGGAAGCTGAGGAGCTAACTGTGTAAAACAAGTCTTTTAAATATTTTATTACCTATTGAGTCATTTTTCATGTAAACATTATATAGATTTTTTTTAGAGCTTCTTAGAATAATTTTTTACTGTTAAATTGTTATGAAGTCATATCAACCACGCATATGCATTGCTCCCACTGTTTATATTTAATAATATGTGTGTCTTTGTATTCATTCAGGTATGAACAACAGTATTATCTCAAACTAACAGGTAATGGATAATTTTCTTTCTGGGATTGTCCAGGTTTAGCATTTGTAAAAGCAGTACTCCACTTTTGTTTGGAAATAGTTTCTCTGTACAAATTAGGTGAATTTTTTTTTTAATTAAAAAATTTATATTCAGAGGAGAAAAAAGTAAAAAGAATATTTTCTTAAGGATTCTTCCAGTTTCTAAACTTTATTTCTCTGATGTATTATGAAAAAAATCAATTCAGCATATGAAAGAATATAAGAGATTGACATATTAAAAAAAATCTAAGATGTAAACCTATTTTTACCCTTCTTAAAATTATAGAAACTAATAAAATGTCTTTAAAATAGACACCATAATGAAAAAGAAAGACAAATTGACCCAAGGAACTTAAGACTTATATTCATTTTGGTTTCATAGAAGAAATAGATAATCTTACCTCTGTTGAGTGCTCCGTATTCTGTGTGGAAAACACCTACTAGTTTTGTGTATCCCAAAGCAACATGGGCATTAACTGCCCTTTTAAACGCATCACCCCACAGAGCTGGGCCGCCTGGTTTCATCTGAAAAGTAGCCAATTCATAGACTCCTAGAATAGGGAGCAGAACAGTCATATTACAGAAGGCATTCAAGCCATTTTTATCAAGGATTTATTTCTTTGAAACACAGAGTGACAGAGAAATTGAGAGTGATCTTCCATCTGTTAGTTCACTCCCCAAATGGCCACAACAACTAGGACTGGTTTCTCACATGGGTGGTAAGGGCAAAAGTGCTTCGGCCATCATCCACTACCCTTTCAGCTCATTAGCAGGAAAATGGATCGTAAGCAGAGGACACATGATATGAACTTGTGGTCTGACATGGGTTGAAGGTGTACCAAGCAGTCACATAACCTGCTATACTACAATGCCTCCCCCATTCAAGCCATTTTTAATAAGGTTTGCTTAAATCCAATAGTGGATGGGTCCCTGGATTTGAAGAATCACTCATATATATGTATTTATATACTCATACTTGTTCATTATTTCCATTATTTTTCCTCACTGTTTAGAATGCTCCTATGTTTAAGAGTTGGGTATTAGGATTAATCACAGGAAAAAAAAAAAAGAAAAAAGGACTACAAACTACTATATAAGGAACTATCTGAACTCTTTTCAATCTATAAACTTCACCATTATATATTGAGATCCAAAGTGAAATGGGATATTTTAGTTTTTAAAAACTGTATTTATTTAAGGTGGGAGGAGAGAGTGAGAGAGAAAGACACAAAAAAAGAGATATCAATTTGACCCATTGGCTCACTTCCAAAATAAATACCCACACTTCCGGGTGGGAATGGGCAGGACTAAAGCCAGCAGTTAGGAGTTCAACCTGGGTGTACCACATGAATGACAGGAACCTAAAATTTGTGCCAACACTGCTGTGTCCCAGGATCAGAACTAACAACAGCTAGGGTCAGGAGCCTGGGCTGAGTGTGGAACCTTGGTACCCCAATGTGGGATGCCATCGTCTTCACTGTTAGGCTAAATGAGCACCACTGAAATAGAATTTTCGAGCTGCTTAGGTCTATAAGAAATGACTAAGAATTGGGCCCTGCACAATGCCCAATGGCTAACTTTTTGCCTGGAATGCACTGGGATCCCATGTGGGTGTCAGTTTGTGTCCTGGATGCTTCACTTCCCTTCCAGCTCCCTATTTGTGGCATGGGAAAGCAGTAGAGAATGGCCCAAAGTCATGGGACCCTGCACCCTCATAAGAGACCCAGAAGAAGCTCCTGGCTTTGGATCAGGTCAGCTCCGTCTGTTTCGGCTACTCAGCCAGTAGACTTAAGATCTTTCTCTCGTTTCTCCTTCTCTGTAAATCTGCCTCTCCAATAAAAAGAAATAAATCTTTTTTTAAAAGAAATTAATAAGTAATTTCTGATGTACATTTCCCTCTTTTTAAAAACTTTTTGAGGAATTAATTCTTATCTGCATAATTCCCCCGTGAGATTCCATTTTCAACAGGAAAGGCAAGAAGATAGAACTCATATCTGAAATTTTGGCAAAAAAAAAAATCCTAAAGGAGAGGGTTTTATTGCTCCTAAATATACATGTAAATGCATGAAAAGCTTTTTACCTATGGTCAGAGTACTGGCTATAAGAGAAACAGGAGACAAACAGATTACATGAGAAAAAGTAAATGCAAAGTCACTAAACAATTATTATTGGATTCTGACAAAAAAAGCTAACTATTTAGATTGTTCTAAGAAGGGAGAGGAGATGTGAGTAGATAAGGATTCAAATAAAACTTCTAAATCTAAAATATACTACAAAGTGAGGAATAAGGAGGAAAGAACATCTAAATTAGCTTATCCTTTTCGAATCTGACCTTTGTTTAAAACTGGATTGAGGTAATGGTTTCTTTAAGTCAGCAAGAAGTAAAACTGGCAAGAAGATCTTAAGGAAATATTTTCAAACTGAGAAACAAGAAAGAAGACACAAAAATCAGTCCACAGTAATATAACTTGGCCATTTGGTTAATTATTCCCAGTCAATTTTATAAGCAAAGATGTACCTGGTGATTTAAGATTAGCTATACTTTATGGAAAACACTTTTACATGCAAGTACTTAAATGACTCAAAATTACACCAAAATGCAGATCCTGTCCCTTACCTATCCACAAGCTGTTGGCTTCCTGTGTACAAACTCTCAACCTAAACTGAGCAGGTGTACTTTCTATAGCAAAGCTCTCAACTGGAAAAAAATACATTACTATTTAATCCTTATTTCTTTCAAAGGATAGGACTTTCAATTTAGTTTTATTACCATAATTGCCATATTCCTATAAAGAAATAGGACTAATTTCACTTTTTTTCCCCAAAGGAACTTTGGTCTCTGCAGCTTGAGGGTTTAAATACCACATTTATCAACCCTCAAACTAAAGAAATACTTACCTTCTTTTGGAGGTTTTTCTAGTTTACACCATGGTACCAGATAAGTAATTTCACTCTCTTGTTTATGCAGGAGAGGCAAATTTGGAATGAGGAACTGTTCTTGCCATTCTTTATCTTTGGCCAATGCTTTCCGGACTTCAGTTCGATGAGCAAAGTTATCTACGGGAGGAAAGAATTAAGAAAAATTAACAATTTAAAAAAATTTAAAAATCACCTGTACTTTACTGGATTTCACTCAAAAAATGTATGTTCGTGGACAACATACAGAAACACTATGTGTTGTTTTTGGAGATATTAACATCAGCACAAACAGCATCATGTTGTTGCCTAAACGGAAATAGAAGTGCAACTAATTATAACATCATACAATGAGCTTGATAGGCTCTAACACTTAGTACACAGTGGTGTGAATTAGGCAAATTACTGACTTTGCCTCAGTTTCTGGCCAGTGAGGAGGAGATAATAATATAATATGGTCTACACTGTTGCAAGGATTAAATGAATTGATATATATAAAAGAGGTTCAAGTTCTTGTTAGCACCCAGTATATGTGGACTATTCTCATTAATTTGAGGTATTTAAATGACAGTGCTTTAAAAAAATAGTGCTGATTCTCTTGTCATCCATTCATTTTCCCCAGCACTTATTTTTTTCTTCTGAGCTACCTAAATAGATGTGTGTTTGTGTATGTCAACATTTTACCAATTAATGGGCCTTTTACCATTGGGACCTCCTAAGTTTCATGATACAAGTCTTTTTTTTTTTTTTTTATGGGTAGGGAATAACACCAATGTTATAGCTTAAGTCATGTATACCAGAAATTTATTATTTTTAATGGGTTATGATTTACCTTTATCATAGCTAATGCACAAATTGTTTTAATGGGGTTTGTGCCATTACTAGAGGGAAAAATCCTAAAATAAGTCCATGTCAGTAATAGAATGATCACTTTCATGTCAAAATGTTTTAAGAATATTAACTTCGGCACAGAGGACCAAAAACAAAATGAATTAACTCACAGCTTGTGTATATGATCAGCTCCTGATGTGGACACTGGAGGAGTAACCATTATGGGGATTCTTGCAAACCGTTTTTTTTCCTCTGCTAAACCAGAGGTGGGTAACCTTCAATACAGGTAGGATTGTTTCTGGTTCTTTTTTCTTAGCTTTGCTAGAGTAGCATAATAAGGAACTCCCTGAAACTCTTGAGGGGAAAAATGAATAAGAAATAGTTTCTAGAGACTGGAAATTTAGCCTAATAGTTGAACTGACAGCCCATATGGAGTGCTTTGGTTCATTTCCTAGCACTGGCTTCTCTCGAGCTGCTTGCCCATGTAGATAGACCTTGGGATGCAGTGGTGTTGGCTCAGGTAATGAGGTTATTGCCTTCCATGTGGGAGTCTTGGATTACATTTTCTGCTTCTGGCTCTGGCTTTGCCTCACTCCAACACTTAGGAAGTAACCAATGCACAGGAACTTTCTCCCTTACTTTTGTCTTCTATCTGGCTCTCAGATATAAGAACAAATGTGTTGTCTTAAGCCTAACAGGATTATTGAATCTCAGTGTTGGGTAGGGCTTATTAGTTGACTACTATCTCTTTAAAACTTCGTATTTCCCAAAGTCCTAGCATGCTTAAATTATTTCTTCCAACACAACTATATCCAGCTTCGGTTTTAATAAGACAAATGGTTACTGCTTTGAAAGTTTTAAAAACCATTTTTATAATAAGTGATTCTAAAATTTTTTTAAAGATTCTCTTTTTTTTGAGAAGCAAAGTGACAAATACTTTACATATGCTGGTTCACTCACCAAATGTCAGCACAAGACTCCACATTTCCCATTTATGTTAATCTAAGAGCTCTTCAGAGTAAGGAGTTTTCAGAGGTGTAACTCTGGGAAGACTAGTAATTGAATTAATTTTGGTAGTGCAATGTTTTATACAAGTTTTACTTAATCTTCATATAACCACAATAATGTAGATCTAAGAAGTAGGTCTCCTACAACACGTAAGAGAATGAAAATCAGTACTAAATACTTAAGCTGGATGACTCATACCATACTTCCAAATATGAAATACTTTATTCATTCTGCCACCAAATTCTACACTCCAGTAGCCGACCAATTCAGAGTGAGCTGTCCGGAGGTGAACATTTTTCTTAAAATTTTCCAGGAACTCATTCATCTTGGAGGGCTTAAGATAATAGGTACGGAATTCATAGAATGTTCCATCCTTTTGTCTGGGACCTGTGGCAAAAGATGAACACACCTGAGGAAAGATAAGGTAAATTTAAATATTGTTGTGGAAAGTAGGGCTTATTATATCACAACCAAATCTGAGTGGAAATAAGAGATACTCAGAAAACTCACAAGCCGTATGTGTGCTTGGCTGGCCAATTCTCTAGGTATGCATTCATGTAGAAATGTCAATAAAGATAACTGCTTTTAAATATGCTGAATATCCAGCTGCTGTTTTCTAGTAGATGTATTTCTAGTCTTGGTATAAGTTATCTTTAGTCACTTTCCCTTAAAAAGTCATACTCTTCAGAGGACACAGGACTTAATGATATTCCTTTACTCAAGAACTACAATTAAGATTCTTAAAAATTCACAAAAGTATGTCCATTATTTAGTCAGTATTTTAGTCCAGAGGATATGAGTTAAAATTACGCAGGCAAGGTAACTTGATAAAATGTGCACCTCTTTTGGAAGGTACATCAAAATACATGTAGTAGTGGGAAATATTTTCTTAAAAAAATGGAGATTACTATTGAGAGTTAAAATATTTTCTAAATTCAATGGAGTAAGCCACTGCTCCAAAAACAGGACTGGAATGTAACCAATGCATTAGGAAGCTATATCTCACCGCAGCGTGCTGTATTATAGCAAATGAATGCTGAAACAGGAAATTTCAAGGAGTTAGGTTTATCTAAAACACTATTGTAACCACAGATGTGATATGGTGAGAGGAGTTAGACTGGGTAGTGGGCAGTTAGGGTATTCCGGGTCCCCAAGTCATCATTATTTTCTCAAATATAAAGGGGTATTTTCCCCACCATGTCTTGAATTCACCAGAACAGGTCTCTCCTGAGACAAGTGCACATCTTATCAGGAATGCTTCCCCAAGAGACAAGGGCGACATTAACATATCAATTCCCCACCTGAAGCCTCAGTCTCATTCTGTCTCCAGCCAGTGCCCAGGGGGAGGACTTCAGACTGGCCTCTTTCATTAGAAAGGGACCAAGGAAGTTGGCCAGTGACACCTTTCTGGCCTTTTGTCTCAAGGCCAGGTACCATGGAAACCAGGAATTTTGTTGATGGAGAAACATCTTTGAGGGAAACCTTTAAAAGATGCTTTCCCCACCATTGATACAGGTCTTTTTCACTTTTCCTCCTGCCACTGTGGCAGAGGATCTCAAAGCCCCCTCCTGTCACTAGGATGGGAGTCTCCTTTCTCAACTTTTTCTAATAAATCTTACTTTAAAACTAAACTGTGTCCGCATGAAAATTCTTACTGAGGTTGCTGCTGTACTTGGGGTCAAAAACCCTACAACAATATGAAGTAGGGCATTTCATATTTTCAGTTACACCGAGTTCATGGCTGAGCAGAAATCAAAGGCGCTTCACACTCCCCTACCTCCAACTTAGCCAGCCATGAAGTTCATAGGACAGTTCAGAGGCCGACAGCTGTCGGCTGGATCAAGAGCTCTTTTTGCAGCTTCACCACCAACGGTTCAAAGAGCTTATCATGGTCATGTTTGCTGGGACGAGTTGAACTCTGCCTTGCTAGGGGACCTAGAGACAGTTTTGTGCCGGGTCTTGATATCCCCAGAAAATCATCAAGTCTGAATTCGGTGCTAAGGCGTAAAGGTGGTTTATTCAGGTTAGCCTAGGTCTCCCAACCACCTCCCCCAGCCCAGGGAGGGGCACAGTGCAGGACCAAAGTGCAGGAGAGAACGAGCCAGCCAGAGATGCACCCCGCCCCTCCCTTGAACAACGCAGCGTCCTTATGCATTTCAGGCTATTAATTATACAGTCATGATTTAGCAGGCTTCTATTGGTGGGTTTGAAGCAATCAACTTTCAAAAAGTACAAATTGATGAGTTATAGGGCGGTGGATCTTATCAAACACCAGGTACCTCCTTCCTGAGGAGTCGTCTGCCTGCGTGACCTGCCAGGTGTCCTGCCGGGTGTCACGTAGACTATCCGGCCTGGAGTTCACACGGCCCCCAGCCAAGACATGAAGGCAGGAATCACAAAAGGCAGAAAACACCTGGGTTCCTCCACGGGCGGCAGGGTGGGCGGGGCCCTCCTGCTCTGAGAGCCCACCAAACGCTAGCAACTGGTTGCAGTTGCTTTAAAAGGGGTAAAGCCCAAGCCCCTGTCCGTGGCTCATAGACACAAATGGACCGGAGACCCCGGCGCCATTCCAGGCCCTGCGACCCTCAACAGGAGCAGTGCTCCCAGCAGGCCGCTTCAGGTTACAGGACCCCGGCTGAGGGCAGAGGAGTCCTCCGTCCATGGTGCCTGCGAGCCAGTCCGGAGAAGACCCAGAGAGGCGGGTTCACCCCAGGACACGCGAGCCCCAGGTCGGTTTGGGGATGCCAGGAGCCAGGTGGGGCTGGCGCTCTCCCCTGGCAGGCCGGCGCTCGCCAGCCGGGGCGCATGCGCGGGCCTCCCCGCTCCCATCAGGTGTCCCCAGGAGCCGCGCCGTCAGTACCTGGGGCGTCAGCGTCCGCGCGGAGAACGCCTTCCTCAGGCTGTTTCGGAGTGCAAACATGGCCGGTCCGGAGCGCCCAGAAAGGTCGCGAGCCACTGGCGCTATGGCTTCCTGACTGGAAATGGGCGGCGATGAACCGACTGGGCGGGCGGAGGCTGGGCGTGCCTCAGCCGGGTCAGCTCCACCTCCGGCTGCGGGAAGCGGGGTGGGCGGCTCAGTTCTCCTGGCGTCTTTCCGACCAGCTCAGACTCGGATTCTTGGTTTCCTCAGTTTAGCTCCAGATGTCAGAGGTGCTGTGCGGGTTAGCTGAACGCCGAGGTCGTTTCTGTTGGGCTTTCGGGATCCCCCACTCCATGGACCCCAGTGCGCAGTGGCAGGGATTAGACGATGCGAGTGCAAGTCGTGTGTGTGTGTGTGTGTGTGCTGTGGAGAAGGATGGCTGTGTGGACATGAGTGTGTGTGATGCCTAGAATTTGTAATTATAGAACGGCTTGCCCGTGTAAAGCTTTATAGAGTGTAATGGACACAGCAGGTTCTTCACCTCTGTGTGTTGTTTGCGCCCTTCCTGGCATAGCCTTGGGAGGCTGCCACTTGTGATTTAGGTTAAGTTTTCCATAAGCTCAAAGGACTGGGGTTCCGAACCTGGCAGGAGAACGTCAAAGTTAAAACTAACATAGTTTGAAATCAGGCAGTTCTGTAAGGCTTAACAGCCAAAAAAATAGAAAGCAGTCGAGGGCTTACATCTAATCCGTTCAGATTCCAGTCCCCAGTATCACTTCATTTAGCATGTTTAAGTTGTTTCCTCCAAGTGCCTTGTGTCTGCTTTAGGTACATTCTGTCTGGTGTTTCAGGACTTTTTGGTGAAAAGAGGATACTTATTGACTTGGATGATGAGAATTTAGGTTTTGTTATATTGTTCCCCTAAAGTACATTTCCCTTTCTGCATCTGTGATGTTTACATTAATTACCTGCTAGTTACATCACTAGAACCAGGCAGTTATTAAAACAGGGTTATTAGATTCCCCGACCACCAGGGAAAGAATAGCTCGGCAAAATATGCAAAAAGAATTTAGATGGTCTTTGTTTCAGGGAACCACAGTCACGTGCTTCCCTTTCCCCCTGACAAGGAAGCCGAAACGGGGGTCGCCTCGGCCCTTATTTGGTGGGGGGATATGGAAGGTTTTTCAGGTCAGGTTTTGACAGCAAATATCTGGACAAATCGAGACTCTAAAGTGAGCTATGTCAGCCCAAGGGAGCGTGGAAGGATTTCTTCAACCATGGAGCAACAAAATCAACAGCACTCCAGAGTTATCCAAACCACTGAAGCAGTACCCTTGGAACATGCTCCACATAGGGGACCTTGGGATGACGTGTCATAAGACCTCTAAAAGTTATATGTGTCTCTAGATTCCAAAGGTTTTTATGTATGTAGTAAATACACTATAAGGCAAATAAATTATCTTGAGCTAGGCTCATCACACCATAAAAACAAATTGTAGAAAAAAAAATCAACGTATTAAGTGTACATTAGAGTAAAATAAGTTTTGGATTAGCAATAATTAAATGGAATTTGACAATGCATTTTTTTTTATTAGCTAAAAGGTTGCAGATCTTCCTAAAACTATATTTATTGCATACTATTATAACCAGAGGAAAACTGAAAAATTTCAGTTAAAATTTGATGATAAAAAAAGATGTAACACTCACTTACTTACATTACCAGACCATCTGAATTTGACTTCTTTGGGCTGAATGTACTGCAGGTTGCAGTATACTATTGCTATATACAGTATACTATTACTTTAGAGCACAGTATATACTGTACTCTAGCAGTAGTTTGATATTCTTTTTTTTTTAATTGGAAAGGCGGATACACAGAGAGGACGATCTTCCGTCCGATGATTCGCTCCCCAAGTGAGCGCAATGGCTGATGCTATGCCGATCCAAAGCCAGGAGCCTCTTCCGGGTCCCCCACATGGATGCAGGGTCCCAAAGCTTTGGGCTGTCCTCGATTGCCTTCCCGGGCCACAGGCAGGGAGCTGGATGGAAAGTGGGGCCGCCGGGATTAGAACCGGCGCCCATATGGGATCCCGGGCATGCAAGGAGAGGACCTTAACCACTGTGCCCTTGCGCCGGGCCCAAAGTTTGATATTTAATGTCACTGAATACTATCAGATGTTCTAGAAAATTGTTAAAGCAGTGTATGAGGTTTTGATGATTAATGATGGAAGACACATTTTACAACTCTAGTAAAAATAAATCAGGTGGGCAAAAGGGAAAAATCAACAGTTCCTGCTTTGTTTTGTTGAAGGACAGGCACATGCAAATAAGTAGAAGCTCAGGAGAGGTGCATCCCCTCTGATTCCATCAAGAGATGCTCAGATACGGGGTCACGTCTCTGGAACAACTCTTGTTTCAGTGCTGCATTGCTTGGTCACTAGATGGCGGCATCGACTAATTTTCGTCATTTGGCATTAACTAGTGTACTCAGGTCTATTTTATCTTAGAATTTGGTAACATGAGCTATAGGTATTTGGAATGAAGTTAACTGATAGTATTTTAGTTTTTTGTTTTTCTGTTTTTTGGTGATACTTCATTTTTTACTTAGGAAAAATTTTAGTGAAGAAAGTTACTATTATGATCTTTGTCAGTGGCTTAACCACTGTTAAGAAATAAAAGTTAACAGTAATGAAAATAAAAATCATCATTCCTTAATAATTGCCCTTCTCGTATAACTGAATATTTGATAAGTTCCTGTGGTGTGTTTAATATTTTATTAAGTGCTATGGGAAAGGAAAAAAGATTTAAGTCTCTTGCCAAACTTCTCAACATGTCTTGATGTCTCTAAGAATTTATATTTTCCTGCTATAATGTAAAAATAAGGTGTAAATTCTACATTTCATGATTTGATATGTCTTGGCAATATATACAGATTGATATACAACTCAGTTTTATACACACTATATATTTCTGCACATTTTTAGACTTGTAATGATTTTACCATCTCAATAAGAAATAGTTTCAAACTTTGGTAGCCTACACAACACGGCTGTAGTTACTTATGCCCTGTAGCTTTTGAATGATTATTTTGTAATTGTGTTTTTCCTAGTGTTCGTAGATTTTTGTTTGTTTGTTTAGTTTTGGTTTTTGTTTGTGCACATATTTCTGAATGGATGCCTACTGTATGAGAAAAGAAACATTAGGGCCTGGTGCAGTAGCCTCGTGGCTAAAGTCTTCACCTTGCATGCACCGGAATCTCGTATGGGCACCTGTTTGTGTTCCAGATGCTCTGCTTGCCACCCAGTTCCCTGCTTCTGGTCTGGGAAAGCAGTCTGGGATGGCCAAAGCAGTGGGACCCTACACCTGTGTTGAAAACCCGGAAGAGGCTCCTGGCTCCTGGCTTTGAATCAGTTCAGCTCTGGCCATTGTGGCTGCTTGGGGAGTGAGCCAGTGGATGAAAGAGCTTTCTCTGTCTCTCCTCTCTGTAATTCTGAATTTCCAATAAAAACAAATAAGTCTTGAAAAAATCTGACCTTCCCAATTGAAAAAAAAATGCACATAGAAACAAAATCTGCATGGATTTATTTCTCATGAAGACATTGCTTCTTTCTGGCCTAAGATCAAAATGATATACAATCTCCAGCTTTTGATTATCTTGATTTGTCAGTTGCTGTTATGTGTTTTTGCTTTTTAAAAATATTTATTTATTTTTATTTGAAAAGCAGACTTGACAGAGAAAGAAGGAGAGACACAGAAAGAGAGGTCCTTCATCTGCTGATTCACAACCTAAATGACCACAACAGAGTTGAACCCATCTGGAGCCAGGAGCCAGGAGCTTCCTCCACTCCCCCTAGGCATGTGCAAGGTCCAAAGAACTTGAGCCATCCTCCGCTGCTCTTCCAGTCCATAAACAAGGAGCTGGATCAGAAGTGGAGCAGCTGGGATTTGAACTGGCTCTATAAGGGATTTCAGGGCTGTAAGCAAAAGATTAGTGTGCTATGCTGCTGCGCCAGCCCTGCATTTTTGTTATCTTTAATCATATTTTTGATGAGGAACATAAAATGTACTCTCAGTGGTTATTTCATAACCAATACTATTAATGTTCATGATATTGAGTGTTTATTTGCCACTGGAAAATAATCTTAAGTATTTCAACATGCAAATTAGTGCTTATATTCTGTAACCATCTGACTCATTAATATAACTGTTTTTTCATTTAATCAATGGTGCCTCACATTTATAATCATTTTTGTCCCATATTTGGTGTGAAGACATGAAAGGCATGGAAAGAAATGGTTCAACCTACTTACAGATTATTTGAATTTAATTTCAATTCGAAGTTTTATTGAAATTCCAGGTCAGGAAAGTGAATAATCATGTAACTTGAATCTTGCAAAAATAGAAATGTTAAGAGAATATCAATGTGTATGTGGGAATGGCATTAAAAAGTCATGAATTAGGTTGTACTGAAAAGGTGGAATTGCATAATGAACCAATTCTTTTACAAAGGTCTATACAATCTGACATACTTAGGAAATCAATGGTCTTATTAAAAGTATCCAAAGCCATATAAAATAATATCACAAAGGTTACATGCAAAAGATTTCTGTTCCTTGCCACCTCAGAACTCAATTCTAATAAATCTGCTATTTTTCTTTTCTTCTTCTTCCCATGTGCACATCTCTCAAGAATAGTAACTGAAATCTTATAACAAGTCAGTAAAATTAGGTTTTGTAGAGAATAAATTTTTAAAGATTTTCTACCTAGTAGGGATTGCATTTAATTTTCTCCTCAAACTAATTTTAGTGGTGTCTTTGGTATAACTTATATCCTGTCTCATTTCCTGATATGGCAACTATCCAAGAAATGTATTTTTGACATGTTTTGCAATCTTTATATTATGAAAAACTTAAAACATAAAGTAAAATGCAAAAAAAGTTAGACACCATATATCCGTTACATTTCATGCTTAACATTTTACTAGATTATCTTATATCTATGTGTCTATTCTTTTCTTCCCATTAACCCCATGCTATTCTTGGATGTATTTAAGAGTAAACAATAGATATCATTCCATTTTCCTTTAGCATGTGCATTCTTAAACATAAGTCAACATTTATTTATAATTACTTCTTGTAACTCAAAACTTACATGCATTAAATTAACAATCTTAACATACTAGCCAAAGTTTTGACAAATGCATGTTATCAAATTGCTGCTGTGATATTGGACATTCATATAATTTCAGAAGGTATCCTTCATGCCCTAGTCCTGTTTATTCTTCATGCCCTATGCCAGTTTACACCTCTTCCTGCTCCTCTTCTACAGACAGCACTGCTCTGGATTTTTACAAACATTTATTTATTTATTTGAAAGATAATTTCAGTTTAGAAGAAGAGATAATGTTTGCTAGGATGATATAAAGGATTAGAAGTCAAAGGAGATTTCCAAAACAGAATGATGTTAAAGCTGAGATTAGTGGTCTAGAACAAAAATGAAAACTAGATTTTTGGAATATAAATACCCATCAGAAATAATTGGAGAGATGACTAGACTTGTATGGCAAGCAAAATAGAAGTTAGATTATTGTCATTAGTTAATATAAGAAAGGGTCGGGCCCAGCGCGGTGGCGCAGTGGTTAAGGTCCTCGCCTTGCATGCCCAGGATCCCATATAGGCGCCGGTTCTAATCCCGGCAGCCCCGCTTCCCTTCCAGCTCCCTGCCTGTGGCCTGGGAAAGCAGTCGAGGACAGCCCAAAGCTTTGGGAACCTGCACCCGCGTGGGAGACCCAGAAGAGGCTCCTGGCTTCGGATTGGCATAGCATCCATTGGCCGTTGCGCTCACTTGGGGAGTGAATCATTGGACGGAAGAAGATCTTCCTCTCTATCTCTCCTCTCTGTATATCTGCCTTTCCAATAAAAAAATAATAATAATAAATCTTTAAAAAAATATATATATAAGAAAGGGTACCCCTGAGGACTTGATATCTCTTAGCTAATAGATCCTTATTTTTTTGTATCAAAATATGAGGGGAGTTATCAAAGAAATACAAACATTAGGACTATATGATTATAAGTAATAAAACTTCAATTTAAATTAGTTGTTATAAAATAATAATTTATTGATTCATATAACTAAAAAGAGTAATCATGAATGTAACTTCAGATATAGATGGATTCAGAAGTCCAAATGATAGCATCAAACACCCATTCCTTCCTTCTCTGGATTCTATTTTTATCTTTCAAGTTTTCTCCACATATTGACAGGGTTGTCGCTGGGATCATATAGCACATCCTATCAATTTAGCAACCATAGCAGAAGCAGTGCCTCTTTTTTGTTGCTGTTGTTGTTGTTTTTCACACTGGGATAGTCGTCTTGGATTTAATTTGAATAGCCTGACTTGCTATGTAGAATGAACGATTGTAGCTATAAGATTTGGTTTTTAATAGGCTAGTCTTTTGTTCTAGAAATACTGTTGTTGATGTAGGATGGTATGAGCTCTTCCCAGCACTGTGTGGGCTTGGAAGCAATCCTTATCTTTGCCAAAATGAGATGCAATCTTTTGCCAGATGAGGGAATGAAAGGGGACAAGTAAAAGATGTTCAAAGTTATGAAGAAAGGAGAACATGAAGACAGAAAAAGTAGATGAGGAGGGAGGAGGGAAGTAGATAGATGAAAGAAGAGAGAGGACAAAACAAGGAAGAGAGAGAAGGAAGAGATTCATCTTGATAATGCCATGTGCCCTATGTGGGACCAATTGGCAGAGCTGCACACGTTCAGAAACTCTGAAATCTAGACACTTCTCACAATCTTTAGGTGAACGTTCCATGTTGAAAAGAAGGTGAGTTTTCCATATTTGGCTTTACAGACACACTCAATGCTGGGTCCTGCAACTTATGTGGCTCTGAGAATTTTTTTTGAATTTATTATTTTCCATGCTACAGTTTTATAGGCATAAAGGTTGTAACTATAAAACATGTGGAGGGTATCTCATGCTTCAGGGCCTTTCATGTTTTCCAAAATGAAAGTGCCTGCCCAGGACTTTATTCACAGCTTCCTTTACATCTTTATCCCTCAGGCTGGAGATGATGGGATTTAACTTTGGGCTTACCATTCTGTAAGACAGTGCAATTATTTCTTCAGATGCGTTTGTGTATTTCGTCTTGGGCTTCATGTACATAAAAAGTGCTGAACCTTAGAATAAGATGGCCACAGGCAGATGAGCCAAACAGGTAGAAAAAGCCTTCTTTCTCCCTTCAGAAAAATTAATTTTTAGAATGGGCGAGAGGATGAACACATAAGAGATGCAAATTAACAGCAGAGGAGTCACCAATAAAATAAGACTTGCCATTGTCATGGTAAGCACATTCATGGAGATATCTAAGCAAATGAGTTTAAGGACAGCCAGGGTCTCACAAGGAAAATGATCAATGATGTTATTACCTCAGACAGGAAGAACCATTGTCAATACTATTTGCACTAAGGAGTTCAAACAGCCTATGATCAGCCACGTGAACGCATAGCACCCTTTTCATAGTGATGGGGAATCTCAGTAGGTTGCAGATGGCCACATAGCAATCGTAAGCCATTACAACCAGGAGGGCACGTTCAGTGGAGTCCAAGCCAAGAGAGATAATCATCTGCAGAGCACAGCCAATGAAAAAAATTATTTTTTTTCTCAGACATAAATATGATGAACATCTGAGGAATAGATTATGATGCGTAACAGATGTCCAAGAATTTGAGATTTCCAAGGAAGAAGTACATGGGTGAATGGAGATGAGAAACCAGCATGATGATAATGAGGAAGAGGTTCTTCCCCGGGAGGGTTATTAGGTACAACAAGAAGAGGCAGAGCACAAATATGAAAAACTGGGGTCTGGGTGTTGGGAAAGCCCTATCAGAAAGAATTCAGTCACAGCAGAGTAATTTCCCACCTCCATGTGGCTGTGTCATTTGCAGAATCCTGAAAAGGACATGACTCAGGAAAATCAGAGTGGTTGGTATGGATATCTCAAATAACTTTTATTTCCATTACTTGGATTTATTCTTGGAACAGCCCCTGAAATCAACAAAGGCAGAGCTATTGATTTTATTAATGATTAAAGAGGCACTGAGAAGTGGATCAATACTACTTAACATCACCCAGAAGCCAAGGCTAGAAATTCAATTAATTCAATTGTGAAATGCCAGGCCTCTCATTTTATAAAACCTAGGAGCAAACTACTTTCAAATGAGGATACACAATAAATTATTTACTAATGAGTATTTAAAACAATTCATTCTAGTAAGCCTGGATATAGCATATAAGCATATAAATTGGTCACCATGCCACTTGCTCTCTATACTACTATTTTAAATTATTTAATTTTTGAGTATCAACTAACTAAGCTACTAGTCACAGCAAACAAACAAACAAACTAAGAGGGAAAAAGTTATGACTGGGGGCAGATTGCTGTGATGATTAGATTAGATCACACATATTAGGTGGCATATATAGTAGTTGATTGCAGTGTGTCATTTAAAATAATGTGTAAGTAAATAAAAATAACAATATTAACTATACCTAGATAGGTATGTTATTTTAAGGTCTACTTGACCAGATTAAAAGAAAAAAAATTGCTACAATTAAAAACATCTATTTTTGTCAACTTAAATATTTAATACTTTTTGAGATAACATTTAAGATTTACTTTATAGTCAGAGGCTTAATTCCATTACTAAATAAAGAGTTTAACAACAACAACAACAAAAGTGAAAAGATCACAGCCCTTTAGGAAAATATGCAAGGTTTATACACAAAATCATATTTTGTTCAGCTTTCAATTACATAAAGATTTAAAAATACTCACAAAATCAGCTGTAGTACTGTGCAAGTCCTGTCTATTTCTTTTCTGACAAAGGTTTGACAAATATTTTTGTTTTAAAACATTTTAAAATTTTAGGGTAAGAGAATTGAAATTTGAGGTCTTAGATGATGGAATGTGAATGTTTTCTGATCTAATCAATAATCATTTCCTGGAAATCACTGAAGGTGGTTTCTAGAAATCTCCAGGTAATGAGGAACCTCAGCTATTACACAGCTTTCCTGAGAGCCTGGAATCCACTCTCCCTCCCCCATCCAAGCATGTCACCAAGAAATACTCTCCCCTTGTGTCTGTAATTTTCCATTTGCATTTAATTCACTATTCTTTACACGCTTTTGTTTTTCTCGAGAAGTTCATATTATTTTATAACTATTAATATTTTTCTCCTTTTCTTTGTATTTGAATGTTTGGATGTATCTCTAGGTCTTTTCATGCTACTTTTATTTTTGGCCACAAAACTACCATTTGAGATAAAACATGTAATGGCTAATTTTTTTTTTTTGAGCACTTTGTTATAAGCACATCACACTGTTGTAAGCTCATTGAATGTATAACTCATTTAATCCTCACCTCCGTGATGTAGATACTGTTTTTTACTCTAATTTAATAGGGAAGGAATAGGTACAAACAAAAGTTACGATAATATTCAGCCTTCAATTAAATGCTAGAGCAGTAGTAATTCAGTACTCTCTTTTCTGACTCAACAACAGCCGTCTTGGCCATTATGCCAAAGTACGTCTCAGTTTCTTTGTCATGATTCTGAGACTATTAGACAATTGTTTCTTGTGTGTTGAACTTATGGAGCAAATATCACTTGCTTGTTTTATATCTGGTCATAAATGACATAAGAGAAAACTCTGAAGGCTGAATCATAACATCCTTTTCTCTGTAGCCTTTATAATGTGACATTCTTAGTTTTTTTTACAAAACAGGGAATTTCACGGTGCGAGCATTAGCATAATCATGAACACCAACCTGAGAATCTCATATTTGCCTCTATTGATCACTTTCCGTGGACTTCTCCTGTGTGTATCTTTACTTTTGAAATCCATATTTATTTCAGTCTTTAATTATACAAATTTTTGCCTTTTGAAAATAATTCCATCTTGGCTTATTTTCTCGTAAGCTATACTTCTCTGTAACTTTATCCCCACAACATTAGAAACTCAACTGTGCTAAAGTTGTTTCATATTTACTCATTTAAAATGTCAAAACATGATTATAGACTTATTTTGTAAAGAACTGTGTCTCATACTTTATTATATCCCTGGAGTAGCTTTTATCGCTTTGGTGTGATTGAAAAATGAAAACATTTGTATTAATCTTATTCTTGCAGCATAGCTGTATCTTTCGTTTGGTCTTTTTATACCTAAAGAGCCTGCAGACACAAGTTGAGGGCTTCCTCCTTGACTGGCTGCAGATGACAGCATTCCTGTCTTCCTACTTAGAGATGTCAGAGAGAAAGTCTTTCCCAAACCCCCATTCCCTGGCTTTACACTTTTTCCTCTCAGAAAATACCATCATGAGAGTGGTTTTTTTAAGGTTAATGAACATAGATGATGGTAACAGTATTTTAGTATGTTGAAAATCACCATTTTCCTACATTGGTCAGTTATATTTGGCTTATTTCCAGAAAAGAATCCACTAAAGCAGGGCCTGGTGCGGTAGCCTAGCTGCTGAGGTTCTCGCCTTGGACGCTGTGGAATCTCATGTGGGTGCTGGTTCATGTCCCAGCTGCTTCACTTCCCATCCGTGTCCCTGTTTGTGGCCTAGGAAAGCAGTTGGGGATGGCCAAAACCCTGGGACTCTGCGCCCACGTGGGAGACCTGGAGGAAGCGCCTGGCTCCTGGCTTTGGATTAGTTCTGGCTGTTGAAGCCATTTGGGGAGTGAGCCAGCAGACGGAAGCTCTTCCTCTCCTCTGTAAATCTGACTTTCCAATAAAACTAAATAAGAATCCGCTAAGGCAGTAGTTTCGATTTGTTGGAAGAGATTATGAAAAGAGAGAAGGGACAAGGTGAAGAGGAGAAGCAATGAAAGGAGGAGAAGGAAAATGTTCCAATATTTACTGGTAAAAATAGATTACATTTACCATTTGTATTGCAGGAGTGAGATTGTTGAAGAGAGAGGGGAAACATGATTGCTTCTTGCTGTTCCAAAAGGTCGCAGATAAGGAAAGACATTTTTCTAAAATCATAAGTGAATAAGAGAGATATAAAAAAAACTGCACAAACATTTATTTAGCTCATCACACAAAAAGTATCTTACATCCCATCACTTCCTTTTTTCTTTTCTCTTATCCTATCTGTTACTTCTGCTTTCATGATAGTGTCAAGAATAGAAACCTGAGAATAAATGACATTGTGGTACTACCATATTTGAAGTCTAAACATATTTTAATATTGCTGTAATTTTTTCCTTTGGGAAGCTGAAGTTTTGACATACATTGGTCATGACATCATATTTAAGAAGGTATGATACCACATGTAACATTGTGGATGCAAATTGTTTTCTTAAAGAAGAGTTAAGGACAAAGGAAGGATAATGCACTTGATAAAAAAAAATATTATATGAAAAAAGAAACTTCCCAATGTTATCAGGAGGCAAATATATGCCTGAGGAAACTATATCAAAATGTTAATTATATTTTTCTCTGAAGTGTGAGGCTTGGAGCAATAATCATTTATTTTCTACTTAGTTTACAAATAATTTTTAATTAGCCTGTACTTTATTATAGAAAATTAGTCAAAACATTTTTTTTAAAGAATAGTGTCAAAGTTATCCAGAATTTTGACACTAATTTTCCTCTGAACCTCAAATAAGAAGTTAATCACTGGAAAGGAAGCTTTATTTTGATTTATATTGCAAAGACTAATTTAATACCACAGTGTTGTGATTTCAACCAGACGTTCTATTCATTACTAGCAGCTAAGTGCTGACACTACTTCAATCACTGCCCAAACAGTCTTGAATAATCAACTATTTGGAATGTGACGACGCCTAGAAGTATAGATAAGATGCAACTTGAGACATCCAACAATGTCCAACGTAAGACATCCAACAATGTCACACGAGAATTAAGAAAAGGAGAATGTGGGAGGAAGTATCTGAAGCGTTGAGCACTTCTGTTACCTCTGCCTTTACTCAGTATCATAAGGAAGGGTCGCTTTAGTTTCTTGGTTCTCCAGATTTTCTTCATTTCTCCACAAGGCTTAGCCATCACCTTTTGGTTATTACCTATGGGAGGGGAGCACATTCTGCCTTTTGATCACAGATACTGGAGGACTCACCTTTCTCCCCAAGATTTGCCAACAGGAAGGAGTAGTGGTGTGTAAAGGATATGTACTCACCTAGACTGTCTGATTTTAAGTGTGCTGTACACTCACACTGAGAGGTTTTCACGTAATATTGCAGCCTGTGTTCTGCTTCATCCAGTTTTTCATGCTGTGTATGAACATCTTTGTTCTTTACAATTTGTCAGGAAATCCCCAGCGCTTGCCTAATAAGTGACCCCCTAAGGGCCCTAAAAGGAATTCAATTCAAGCAGTACTATGAGTTAGAGTTAAGTCCACCTTTCCCTTGCCACCTGCTTTTTCATATAGTCCTGCTAACTATTCTGCTTATTTTCTCCCACTAACATTGCTGGGTGAATGCAAAGTACAATTCTTTGTTGCTGGGAATTCAGCTGAAGCTTGTGCGAGCCTCTATTTTAACAAAAGGCCCCATTCTGGGATATTTTGGAACATGCTGTCCTGTATGTTCTAGTAATTTCTGGGTCTGAGGTATGGGCATCTACTTCCCAGTTCACTTCCCACTTATCTTTGTGAAGAACTACTGTGGTATAATCGAAAGAGCTGTTTGCTTCAATTCAGGGAACATGGAGTGTCTTGGTTGTACTAACCTTGGGAATGACACTTAATATGAGCATCATATAAAAAATGGGAACAATACCTTCACTGTAGGTACTGTTTTGGAGATTAATGTAATAGACCTGAAAGATCTAGGCACAGAAGGAATACTCAATACATAGTTGAGTTAAATCTGAACTCTCAGGCTTCTGTTCTTTTTTGTCCATGGT